GAGAATGCAAAAGCCCCTGAGGTCTCGTTTTAAAAGCCGTTGCCTCAAACTTGTTTCTGTCTGCGAACCGGATCATTTTCTGCTTGACATGGCCTCGCTCTCTACCGTTTCGCCCTCCGCATTTCCCTGCCTGCTTGGCAGTTGAAGCAGGGCCCGGCCCAGCAGGGCGCTGCCAACATCTCTTCCAGCCAGTCCAGCATCGCGTCCCCCTGCGCGAGGGGGCGGAGCGTCAGCGCCAGGTGATGATCCTGTTCCTTCCTTGAACTTTTTGACACTGTCTGTATTCCTGCGGGCTCCGAATTTTTGTTTTGTTCACACTGCAGGAGATAGAGGTTCAAAAGGATGTACAGTAGTACTCTTGGTTTCATGGTGAGGTTCTTCTACCATACTCTGCAAGTCTATGACTCAAACACTGCATCTCGTTGTCAAGGACTAAGTTTGACAGTTTTTACTGGTTATTCAGACACAACCATACACCTTAACCGGATAACTACAAGTTACACGATCGCTTCGATCTTGTATTGTCCTACTCATTCTTAAAATTCAATACATATTGACTATTGATGGACAATCCTGCACTACTCAACCAAACCAGAATAATGGCTTTGCCTTGGTTAAAGAGCAATTAGGCTTCTGATGGATTAAGTCCATCAACAATTGCCTGTCCCCACACCGAATATGACAGATCTCCCTACGATTCTTGGTCATGTACATCCTGGGCCGATCTCCTGGTGCGGCACCCGGTCCCACCACCCGGCTCCCGAACCGCCCACACGCCTCCCGCACCGCGCCGGGCGATGGCCCGGTCGCTCGAGGGCGAGAGCCAAAGGTCCGAGGAAATGATGGTGTCAGCGGGTCGAGAAACAGCAATTGGTCATGAGGAATGATGGCTAATTGGTCAGGATGGCCATTTGGAATGGACCCGTTGAGATCTGATTTCTTTTTTTGAGCATGGAGTTGGGACAGCCAAGTGGAAAGCTGCTAGGTGGCGGTGGTTGCCATACCTTTTCACGAAGCGTGCCATCCGTTTTGAGGTGTGCAGTGTGCCTCAGAAAGGAGTCCACTTCAGAAAAAGGATTCCTTATGTCTGTCTTGAAGACTAAATCTGCATTTAACACTCGACATGATGAGGAATCATCCACTCTTTCTCAAATGTTGCAGCTTTTGGATGACCTGGCAATGATTGCAACAAAGAGATACAAAAAGCAAATCTAAATCTAAAGCATTCGCCAGAATGTTGGACTACCCCCAGCCTCAGCCACCTGACCTGACATGCTAAAAGTGCTAAAGTCGGGACGCCAGCCATTCAATCGCCTTCGATGATCTTCAAGAACCACCATTTTACTTTCAACTGATCAATCAAAGAACCACCAAAATGCTGTCAAATGACGAAGCAAACTGCGCTGTGAGGATTGTCACGGTTGCGCTCCCCTGAGACTCCCCTGTCTTCCCAAGAAAAATCACTCGCTCACCCCCCCTTTGAAGCGAAGGAGCGGATGTCTGCCGGCGGAGCGGTCTGCTGGCGCATCCATTCGGAGCGCATTCATTAACGTGCAAGCGCAGGCCGCGCAGGCGCGCTCGCTGGACGCGGAGGGGATGTTCACCTAGGACCTGAAAACCAAGATCCATTATTGGTGATTGAATTGGTGCGAAAACTATCAATGCCATGCATCATAGGCGTTCTACAATCAATCCCTCACCCAAGGAGTTGCAAAAAAACAGGGCTTATGCACGAAAAACCATTGTATACATTATATGTAGCAAGTGGTTCGGAGTTTCCGTGAAAGGAAACAAATGGAAACATAGAGGGTCCAGTCTACACGAGGTTCAAAAAAGTGTGCGATTGATTAACTTTCAGACCCAGCGATTTGACGGCAAGAACTGAGTTTCTTTCTTCGGATGTTGATCCAAACCTTTCCTGATGTTGGGGTCATCAAGCTCAAAATTACTTTACTTCGAAATTCCCCACCCTCAAAGAATTGGTCTTCACAAGAGAAAAGCGGTTCGGCGCGAAAAGGATTCTTTATTGAAAACAAAACCACACATCGAATACTTACTTGTGAGGTTTCTGAACTTCGATATTTTAATGCCTGGCAACCCCGCATCCCTGCCAAGTCAACTTGTGGTGGATATGCTGTGGAACTGGTACTTGGGAGCACTCTGGTGAATGTGCTGGTGTAAAGGCTACGCTGGGCTACTCGGGGCCACTCTGGTGGATGTGCTGTGTAAGGGCTACTCTGGGCCACTGTGGGCCACTCTGGTGGATGTGCTGTGTTCTTTGGGTTGCTCTGAGCTACGCTGGGACCACTCTGGCGGATGTGCAGAAGTAGCGAGTCTACTGAAGTCCAAAGTTCTTAAAATCTAACAGCCCCACAGTCCTACGGGTGGGGAAAAAAAACTGCTTTGATAAGTACATTACAAGTCTACAACTATCCTGCGATCTCTTTGGTAAATGTGCTGTGGAGAAGCTAAGTTGCGCTACTAAAAACTGTGGTTGCTGTGGACAAGCTAAGTTGAACTACTTAGAAATCAGCTTGTGAATGTGCTGTGGAAGAGCTAGGCAGCTAGGTTTAGCTACTCAGGGATCAGTTTGGTGAATGTGGTGTGAATACTCAGAGGTCATTTTGGTGAATGTGCTGTGGAAGTGCTACGTTGAATTACTCAGGGATTACTTTGGTGAACAGGGATCAGTTTGGCGAGCGTGCTGTGAAAGAGCCACTTTGGGCTACGCAGAGATCACCTTGGTGAACGTGCTGTGGAAAAGCTAGCTTGAAAACTCAGGGATCACTCTGGGGAACGTGCTGTGGAAGAGCTACTTTGGGCTACTCCGGGATCTCTTTGGTGAACATGCTGTGGAAGTGCTGCGTTGAACTACTCAGGGATCACTTTGGTGAGTGTGCTATGGAAGAACTGCTTTGGGCTACTCAGGGATTACTTTGGCGAGTGTGGTGTGGAAGAGCTAAGTTGGGCTAGTCAGGGATTCCTTTGGTGAACGTGCTGTGAAAAAGCTACTTTGGGCTTCTCAAGGATTACTTTGGTCAACGCGCTGTGGAAGATCTAAGTTGGGCTACTCAGGGATTACTTTGGCGAGTGTGGTGTGGAAGAGCTAAGTTGGGCTAGTCAGGGATTCCTTTGGTGAACGTGCTGTGGAAAAGCTACTTTGGGCTTCTCAAGGATTACTTTGGTCAACGTGCTGTGGAAGATCTAAGTTGGGCTACTCGCGGACTACTTTGGTGAGTGTGCTGTGGAAAGGCTAAGCTACTCAGGGACCACTTTGGTGAGTGCGCTGTGGAAAAGCTAAGTTGGGCTACTCAGAGACCACTTCGTGAGTGTGCTATAGAAGAGCTAAGTTGGGCGACCGGGCGTACTGAAGTCCGAAGTTCTAAAAACCTAACAACCGACAGGCCTACGGGTGAGAAAAACGCAGCCTTTGTTGGCTTGATAAGCACATTGCAACTCTACAACTACCTTGGAATCACTTTGGTAAATGTGCTGTGGAGAAGCTAAGTTGCGCTACTAAGAACTGTGGTTGCTGTGGAAGAGCTAAGATGAGCTACTTAGAAATCGGTTTGTGAATTTGCTGTGGAAAAGCTAGGTTTAGCTACTCAGGGATCAGATTGGTGAATGTGGTGTCAATGCTTAGAGGTCATTTTGGTGAATGTGCTGTGGAAGTGCTACGTTGAACTACTCAGGGATTACTTTGGTGAACAAGGATCACTTTGGCGAGCGTGCTGTGGAAGAGTTAAGTTGAACTAGTCAGAGATTACTTTTGTGAGTGTGCTGTCAAAGAGCTACGTTGAACTACTCAGGGATTACTTTGGTGAACAGGGACCACTTTGGTGAGTGTGCTGTGGAAGAGCTACTTTGGGCTACTCAGGGACCACTTTGGCCAGTGTGCTGTGGAAGAGCTAAGTTGCGCTACTCAGGGATCACTTTGGCCAGTGTGCTGTGGAAGAGCTAAGTTGCGCTAGTCAGGGACCTTTTTGGCCAGTGTGCTGTGGAAGAGCTAAGTTGCGCTACTCAGGGATCACTTTGGCCAGTGTGCTGTGGAAGAGCTAAGTTGCGCTACTCAGGGACCACTTTGGCCAGTGCGCTGTGGAACAGCTAAGTTGCGCTAGTCAGGGACCTCTTTGGCCAGTGTGCTGTGGAAGAGCTAAGTTGCGCTACTTAGGGACCACTTTGGCCAGTGTGCTGTGGAAGATCTAAGTTGGGCTATTCAGGGACCACTTTGGCCAGTATGCTGTGGAAGAGCTAAGTTGCGCTACTCAGGGACCACTTTGGCCAGTGTGCTGTGGAAAAGCTAAGTTGCGCTAGTCAGGGACCTTTTTGGCCAGTGTGCTATGGAAGATCTAAGTTGGGCTACTCAGGGATCACTTTGGTGAGTGTGCTATGGAAGAGCTAAGTTGGGCTACTCAGGGACCACTTTGGCCAGCGTGCTGTGGAAGAGCTACTTTGGGCTACTCAGGGACCACTTTGGTGAGTGTGCTGTGCCACTTTGGCCAATGTGCTATGGAAGAGCTAAGTTGCGCTACTCAGGGACCACTTTGGCCAGTGTGTTGTGGAAGAGCTAAGTTGGGCTACCGGGCGTGCTGAAGTCCAAAGTTCTAAAAATCTAACAACCCCACAGTCCTACGGGTGGGGAAAAAATTGACTTGTCCTTTTTTGCAAAAAAAAAATAAATAAATATATATAAGCAACGAAACCACAGCTGTGGCACTTCGAAATACCTTCTGAGTTTGTGTTTGTTGTTTTTCGTCGGCGTCAGAACATATTGGAACCCCATCTGGGCCTTGTAAGACTGCTCCACCGAGTTCCGGTTCCACCATCTCCAATCACGACATGGCAAAGGAGCAATTGTGGAATTCTTCCGCTTCAAATAGCTGGGCCTAAAGAACAAATACCTTGCTTTGCACCCTGCACATGTAGCAGCTGATGGTGAGGAGCTTGCTTTGCACGGCTGAGTTCCTGTGGAGCCGTGGAGTTCCCCATACTCATCTTCCTCAGCTGGCTGTGGCCTCCTGGCAACGAAGAGGTGCGTCTTGGAGCCGTAAAAGGGCCTTTGGAGGGGAACTTAGTCGGAACATCCAAACCGAACTGCGCTTCTTGTTCAGCGCGCAAGAAACGGAATCTCATACAATTCAATACAGGCAGCCCAAAACAGTATCAAAATACGTGGCTGGGGCCAATGAAATTGATCACAAATGACAAATGTGCACAAACACTTACAGTTGGACTGACTCAGTATTAACGTTGTAGTTGTTTCGTTTTGATGTGGTCCAATTCGTCAAAGGGAAATGGACACCTGAGGGGAACTTCTGGCAAGGGTACGTGTCCAAAATTCCATGAGAGCCCACCTTCGAACGCCAAGAATGATCAAAAAGAATTTGCTGACGATGCACCGCTCATCACGGCTTGGGGAGTAGCTGTTCAACAATGCAAGGAACCCAAACCCTTGGTGTTTGACCTTGCACGTCCGGGTCCTAGATTGTTCAAAAATTACCATCAAGCATCATCAAGCGGAGCTGTGCCTATTCCTGGAAACATTGAATGATGATAGTATTCGGTGCCTTTAGCCAAAACAGTGATGCATTTCTACCAACTGCCACTGTCAGAGTAGACCGTCCACTCAAATCAATCCTGTTTCTCCAGACTGGTTTGTTCAGGGGCCGCTTCATGGAAGATCGCGGACGGGCAAGAAGCCTAGAGCAGGTCCGCAAACCAACAAATGTGAGTCCAAGAGGGCCCAAAATGAAGTTTGGCAAACCTCCCCAGCCTGGCTTCGCTGCCCTTCCTTCGCCGCCGCGGAAAACCATCCTGCACTGGGAGGATGTCGGAGGTCGGAGGATCCTCATGCGACACCGCGACACCGCAGATGGGTGGGTGACTTCCCGGATTCTGGGCCCATCTGAATTCTGCGGTCACGGATTCTTTGGAGAAGGAACCCCTGTTTTTTTCTTTTCTGTTAAAAGGTCATTGCACACAAACTCACCATGTATCGGCTGAACATCTTCCGAATCGCAAGCTGGTCCCCACTTTGGAGGGGGATGTCTTCCAAACAGGCCCCAAGGACACGAAACAAAACAGAAACACACCAAACGCCTGCGTATGAACCATATAGGACCTTGCTTGCTTAGATGTGGGCGCGTTTGTATGCACAATTCCAAGTTTAGCATCACTTGCCACTATGTGGCAGAGTGCGGTCAGTCACCATCAACATGTTCACCGCCATCCTCCAAGGAATTGACACAAGGTGGCTCCGTGGCATGTTTTGATGCTTCCGTACAGTACAAGGGGGCAACTCGACCATTCGCATCCCTGTTCGTGACGACGGTCTGTGTCCAAGTGTTCGATACACAACGCGAACAGTTCGATTTCACAACCGTGGTGTGCCCGGTTTTTGCCATGCCGCCAGCATGTGAAATCACAAGTGCCATGTGTTCCTGACGGCAACAAACCAACCACAGTACCAATAGGTCCCCGTATCATTGAGGCATCGTCTTCCATAGTTTTTCGACAGCGGCTGCATCGAAGTTGTCGACAGGGTCAAAAACGAAAGTCTCTCATAAGCCAACCACGAGCCACCACACCAGCCTGTTTCTTATGGAATCAAACTAGCATTCCTTGAGCTAGTGCAGCTAGATGGGTTGGAGGAACCAAAAAAGAGGGTTGGTTGGAGGAACCGAAAAAAATAAAGGACAGCAAAGGACAAAAATAGTAAAAAAATGTAAAAAATAAATAGTCAAAAAAACGACCAAACAACCCTGCGTTTTAGTGATGCACGCAAAGAGGGCCAAGAAAATAGTTGTTCAAAAAACCACCAACCGCACCAGCCGCCTTCGTCGACGCCCAACAATCGCTTCTTGGCAGCGACAGACGATGCTTGGCCCCACCTGGGGGCCGTCGGGTTCCACATGTGCTGCGCTGCAGAAAGTGACGCTAGTAGAAGTGCATGAGTTGGGTGAGCACTGAACAAAAATGGTGATGGACAAAGGAAGGCTTGTATAAGTGCATATATTATCTTAGTATACAAATAATATAAAATATATATATATCAGGGTTGCATTGGAAATGGGGCAAGCCGTTTCTCATTGGTCACATGTTACAACAGTCTCCAAACAATGACCCATGGAAAAGCCAAAGCCCGTAAGTTAGTATGCCCCAAACACTGGTCCTGGAGCGCTTGGCGTGCAATGATGTGTTTTGTTAAGTGAGGGAAACAAAAAAGGTAAAGGTGGATGGAGCGACCCTAGATGTGGAGAGCGTGCCAAGAAGCTAGCAGGGAGCACCTTTGTCTCCTTCTTTCTTTCCCTCTCTTTTCTTCCTCCCCCTGCCCCCTCTTTCCTCGCGCGCGGCGTGTTTACAAGCAAACTAGGCTTCTGCAACAGGTTTTTCTAATGAGGTTTGGTTTGTCATCGGTTTGTCCCCGTTCATTTGGTTCCCCTTTCATCGGCCCCCACTGACGGTTTTTTCCTCTTTTCTTTCATGTCTTTCTGTCTTCATGTCTCTTCATTCTCATCCTTTCTTTCTCTTGCGCGCACTATCGTCCGGGCCTTAGTTTGTACACATACACGCACGCGTACTTTACTTACAGCAAGGTTCAGGTGGCCCAGGTTCGTTACAATGAGGTTTGGCTCATCGGTTGTCCCTCTTCACTTGGTTCCTTTTCATCGGCAACCACACACACCTTTGTCTGTCTTGTCCTTCTCATTTTCATCTGTCCTTTTTGCGTGCACATGCGCCTACCTCCTTTCCAGGCAGGATGGAGGTCACACATGCCTCCCTTCGGGGAGGCGTGTGTGTGTAACCCTTGGAGTCATAGGGATCCTTCTGGATTTGCTTAATTTTTTCATTGCAGGGGGACCATCCATGTGTTGTGAGCGATGGTCCAACGAAGCGGCCACAGCACATGCGGATATCTGGCCTGATCAGCCAGACGTACCTGCTTTCCTCGAACTTTTGAACTTTTGATAAAGTGCTAGCGCAGCTGCAGTCACGCACGGAACGCCGTCACCCTGTCGGACCGACCTCGTCTTGAGCCTTTGGCCACCGTTCCTTTTGACGACCTCCAGGCCCCAGGGATTCGTACTTATACTCTTAGGAAATGGAACCCTAGGCCGGCGTGTGGCACCGCTATCAAATCAGTACGCATATCCATGAGTGTGTGTGTGTGTGGCGCTCGTAATCACAGGGATCCATTTGGATTGTACCTTCGACTCCGACTTCTTTTTCCTATTTGAGCAGGGGGACCATCCATGTACGGTGTGCGATGGTCCAACGAAACAGCCACAGTACTTGCGGATATCACGACTGATCACCGCGACGTACCTGCGAATTTTCGAATGGCACGAGGCTGATCCCAGAACCTCAATGTAGCTGAAGACAAGAGCGACCGCCGTAACTTCGACCTGTTCGTCGTCCTCGATCTTGGCCCTGTGGCAACATTTCCTCTTGCGGAGCCCCATGCCCCTTTAGGGCTTTCCTGGAACTTTCAGGATGTGGGTGTCTTAGGATGGCGTGTGGGACCGCCGTCAAATCAGTATGCATTTCCATGAGTGTGTATAAGGTACCTTGCATGGATATATCAAAGAAGCGTCATGCATCTCTAGCAGCAATGCGCGTTATGTGCGAAGCTGTGAAATGATACTGTGAGTACTGTCATCCTGTGAACCCTTGTACGACATTACCTGGTTACACATGTTGAAAAAAGAACTATGTGCACCGTGCGCCTGGCAGTCCTTTCCTTAGATGCCAAGAACTGCGTCGAATGTCGGGAAAGCAAGTTGTAGAGAAATTTCCGTTATTCCCCAGATCTCAACCAAGTAGCGAAAGCCTGAGACTACACGATCGTCATCTGGCTCGAACGGCTGGATATGCACGTGATTTCTGTTGCCTCCACCGCCGCCAGCCACCAGGCCGTCCCTGCCACAGGAGGGATTAGACGCAACATGAGTTTTCCCTGCAAAGCCAGAAAAAGATGGCTAGGATAGAAGGCGAAACCGATTGGATGCCGATCGGTTCTCCGCCTCCGAATCTTTCGCAGGCAGCTCCAGTAGGTGCCATGCACACAGACCTTGAGAGCTGATGGACAGGGAAGAGAAAGAAACATCACGCACGAAGAAGCTGATGCAATGAACAGAATGTACATGGAAAGACACTCAAGTTCATTCCACTCCTAAGGTCAATGCTTCTGGCAAGTCCGGGTCACCAGCATTCAAGCGTGTCAAGAGGAGCTCGTCGCGCACCGACTGCACAAGTCGGGCACAAAACACTAATCCTTCTGCAAAGGCTAGCGCAATAGTCTTCTCTCTCATGGGCATGCGTAGGTTATAGGATCAGGGAGGAGGGTGAAGAGAGGAAAGAGAGAAGGAAAGAAAGAGACAGGGAGAGAAAGGGAGAGGAAAGGAAGGTGTTTTTCGTCCAGGGACACACCCAAGAAAGAGAGGGGTGATCCTGAGTATTGCATTCAGGAAAACCCCAGAAAGCAAAGAAAGAACGGGGGAGGGAAGGGGGAGAAGGGGGGCTAAGTGCACGACAGGTTCCAAAGAACCTTGAACAAGCTTTGGTCGCTGCGACCACGTACGGCTTGCCCGAGGGCTGCCACCTCTGACCGCTGCGGTCACGTAAAGGCATAAGCCAAATTAGAATTCCAAAGATGGGACGAAAATCATCGTACGTACGGCCTAGGCCACCTTCGCCCGCTCTGGGCATCTACATCTCCGGGCAGAGGAGATAACGACGTACACCCGTTCGACGGGTCCACGGGAGGCACTCTGCGGGCTCATCCCGGGTTGGCGCGTAGCCAAACACACTCATGGATATGCGTACTGATTTGATAGCGGCGCCACACGCCGGCCTAGGGTTCCATTTCCCAAGAGTATAAGTACGAATCCCTGGGGCCTGGAGGTCGTCAAAAGGAACGGTGGCCAAAGGCTCAAGACGAGGTCGGTCCGACAGGGTGACGGCGTTCCGTGCGTGACTGCAGCTGCACTAGCACTTTATCAAAAGTTCAAAAGTTCGAGGAAAGCAGGTACGTCTGGCTGATCAGGCCAGATATCCGCATGTGCTGTGGCCGCTTCGTTGGACCATCGCTCACAACACATGGATGGTCCCTTTGCAATGAAAAAATTAAGCAAATCCAGAAGGATCCCTATGACTCCAAGGGTTACACACACACACGCCTCCCCGAGGGGAGGCGTGTTGCAGGTGCAGACAAAGTAGTAGCAAGGCCAGGAACCTGTAGTAGCGTCAAAGTCGCGTCCTAACACCTAATAGCAAAGCCAGGAGCCCCTAGTAGCAACCTAAGCCAAGGTCCCAACAGGGGGGAGGGGTAGGGAGACGAAAAAAAGGAAAGAGAAGAAAGGAAGGTGTTCCCAGCTGCGACGCATGCGTCCAAGGACACACCAAAGGAAGAGCGGAGAAGGGGTGGTAACATTTGTGCCTTGAATGCATCTCTGTTTCCCACATGTCTTTTGAGCCCTGGAACCCAAACAACCTGTCATGACCAGCCTGGAACCCAAACAACCAGTCAAGAGGTGTAGGGTTGTTTCTCCAAGCAACCACTTCTTGCGAAGTTTTCGGGTTCAGGAGCAACTCCGTTCCAACGCTGTCTCGTTCCCACCTGGTTGGGTGACTTCTCTCATGTGAACCAGGTGACCAGATGATGATTTGAAAAAATTCAATGCTTGATCCACTCCGAATCATCTTCTCTGCGTCGGTGCGAAGGGAATCTTTCCAGACAGCCGAAGTGATCATATGAGTGAAGGTGTCATTCGTGACCCTTCAAATCATTCTGCCAACTAGTAGACTCCGAGTACCCTATGTCTAGCTACACGATAGGTGGTCGACTATGTATACAGGAATGGTGGGGCGCAAACATGGTCGGAAAAACGTTCTACTTACAGTAGCTGGAAAACCCTGTCTCCCCACAATCCACCTATGGCCGGACCTGCAAACTCTCCGAACATATTGCTCATTGCTGATGAAATGCACTTGGCCACTTGTTCAAAAGGTTGACCCCAGCCGGAACTTATTAGCCAGCTGCGGCAAAATTGTGCCCAGATTGTGCGGGTCATAAAGAACAAAGTTGCGATTGTGCCTAGACGCCCGCTGCACATCCTTTTGACCCAGACTATGTCTTCACCTCTTTCGCTGCTGCTTGTGACACAAATAGACACTTACACCTAGACGTCACTACACAAGGAGACGTAGACGATATGACACAGACATTATTACACGAAGCAACGTCATCTTAGTTAGAGACGATACCTCATCGCGAAGCAACATCATCTTCGTAGACGTTACATGCTCTGTGAAGATACATCATCTTTGTAGATGTTACATATCGAAAAATGCCGGAAAAGTTCCAATTGTCGAAATACCTCCGTCACACATGCATCAGACGCACATATATGAAACCTCAGGGGGATGGGTTTTACGCACAATCGGGCCCCTATCACTACACGGATCTAGCGTCGGCGCAGACCTCTTTCTTCGAACGCCAGCTGCCCTTCGAACACTTCAGCCGGGGTCTGGACGGCTGCAAGTCCAGGAACCATTCCAGTTTTGCAGGACGTTCTTTCTTAATAGTCTTGCGAACTGTCATCGCCTGCCGCCTTCCCGGGTTGAAGGCTGTTGCGCAGAACCGGTGTAACTTGGTGCGCCTGGCGCCTGAGTTAGTGTGGCAGGGTGCCTATACAGCAAAAATAATCCGCTCTGTTCAATAGAGGATGTCTAAACAGCAAGACCTTTCCAGTGTCTTTTCAGGTGGCAAGTATCATAGACAGCACCATAAAGCAACAACTACAGAAACATACCGAAACCAACCAACCACTACAGAAAGCAACAAAGGAACGCTACCAGCAACAACAGCAACTAAAGACCGCTCAAACTGCAACCTCGAAAGTCTTGAGGAGTGCCCTGGCCATCTTTTCTCTTATGAAGATTGTGATTAAAAATGCGTTGATGAGACGGTTGCCAGGCCATCGATCTCCCACTTGTTTCTGAGTCACGGTGGTTCGGTCCGTCGGTTTGGAGTCACCTTCTTCATTTGCGCAGCCAACAGAAGGCTCTCGGAAGAAAGCACACACTGCACAAGCAAAAGAACAAGACGTTCCACGCCCATATATCGGTCTCCGGAACCGCTGTCAGCAATACCCTCCAAGGCTGAGGGAATGCCAAGGCCTAGCAGCGGGGCCGTTAGGCGTTCCCGAATTATCCAAAATGCTACGGCCCAAGTGCAACACCTGTTGCAGAAGCCACTTGCTGTGAAGCCGGGCGCCAACCTCGCCACCTGCCAAGTTTGCAATGTAGGGGTCGCCAGTGACTTGTGCAAAAGGCCTCCCAAGAACCAAACGCCGCGTAGCAATTCGCGTTCAATAGACCGCGCCCTGAGTTTTCCTTGACAACTTGACAGCCACCTTAAGCTGAGGTACAGTAATCCTGTCCACCTATTAAAAACATAGGGGCCCCCCTATTAAGAAAACCTCGGTCGCATGTTTTGTAATAGGGGGTCCCTGAAACCGGGGTGGTCCACCTGGGAGAAGCTTCAAAACCAAAGAGTCACCCAGGAATTTGTTATATAAAATCCTCGTATCAAACACTCAAAAACCTCCAGATGGAAGGGTCTTCCTTTTCCCCTACAAACACCTTTTTATTGGTTGTTTTTGGAACCTAAAGAGACGAATTACACCAAAAATCGATCATGTTGGTAGTTTAGTCGCGGTTTGAAAGGGTGGTAATGTAAAAACAAATAATGCTAACCTCCTCTTAATAAACCATGCATCAATAATAAAGCTATTTTTTGACCGCCAGAATTTTGCAATACTACTTCTAATTGTGCAAACATCCAGGCCCAAATTTGATAAAACAAAAAATATTTTGTTCATTAAGCAATTTTAAACCACGTCAAAAAAAGCTATTTTTGACTGCCAGAAAATTGCAATACTAGTTACTACTTTTAATTGCGCCAACAGAATGCTTTCAGAATGGTCTTCTTTCTCCTTCTTCTACTGCTATCTTCTTTCTTCTTCTTCTTTCTTCTTTCTTCTTCTTCTCCTTCTTCTTTCTTCTTTCTCCTTTATTCTTTCTTCTTCTGCTTATTCTTCTTCCTTCTTCTTGTTCATTTTTCGTCTTCTCTCTCCTTTTCTTTTTAATGTGTTGTTTTTATCAGATTTCCAAAAACATTGGCTAGCCAAAAGCTTTAGATGCCCTTATGAAAACCCTATCAAAGAAATACAAAAGGTACCCCTTCACACTCCCACCCCTGCAATTGTAAACAAACCTACAATAATCAAACCCCCTGCAGCCCTGCTGGCTTATCCTTGCCTACAAGTGAAAGCAGAATGAAAGCAAACGCAAGCAGATGAAAGCAGAATGAAAGCAAAATGAACGCAAATGCAAGCAGAATGAAAGCAAGTGCAAGCAGAATGAAAGCAAACGCAAGCAGAGTGCAAGCAGAATGAAAGCAAATGCAAGCAGAGTGCAAGCAGAATGAAAGCAAGTGCGAGCAGAACGCAAGCAGAATGAAAGCAAATGCAAGCAGAATGAAAGCAAAATGAAAGCAAACGCAAGCAGAATGAAAGCAAATGCAAGCCGAATGCAAGCAGAGTGAAAGCAAATGCAAGCAGAATGAATGCAAATGAAAGCAGAGTGAAAGCAAAATGAAAAGCAAAGTGAAAGCAAATGAAAGCAGAATGCAAGCACTACTAGTACTGTCCCCTCTGCCAAGTGGCCTAGAGGTTTTTTATTAAGGTTCAGGATTTTGACTGCCCCGAAAAACATCATAGGGGGGGGTTTACTAATGAGAGCTAAACATTATAAGACGTACTTAGGTTTACGGACATGGTGTTTTTTAAGTTGGGGAGTATTTTGTAATAGGTACTCGGGATTGTTGACACAGAGTGTATCCTTCGCAGGTGCAGGAAGTTCAGAAGCCCTCCCAAGAGCCACTTCCCGAATCTTCTTCTGAATTGTCTTTGCACTGCACTGCGTGTGTCCAGCCAAGCCCTGCCAGGTAATGTCCACATTCGACATCACCTTCAATGAATCAGCCAACGGCAATGCACCCCGAAGTCTCTTCTTCAAGTGTAGATCAAGCATTTGTCAACACAACCTGCGCTTCAGAGGAGATACCCTGGCCAGGCTTGAATGGGTTCTTGCAATTCCATTTTGTTTCCGGGGTGGCTGGTCGCCAAGGTCTTCCAATATCAGTGGCGTTGCTCTGTGAAGATCATCACGTCCAGCTTCATGGCTCTATTTTCAGAGCTTGGTGGGCGCTTGTTTGTTGACTTCTACTAGTCTCTTTGAATAATGTTGGATGCTGATTAGTAAGTGGTTCCGCAATAATGCTAAAATTTTCCAAAATTATTCCAGACCCCATGATTGAAAAATGGTTCCTGAATAATGCTAACTTTTTGGGGGGCCCTAAATTTTTTAAATTGGAAACCTACTTAATAAGGGTTTGATTCCTTCTGAACCCTGTCCACCTGCACTCCCTCCTCCCTTTCCAGGCAAGCAGCCAGCAGCAAAGCAAAACTGACAGCTGACCAAAACCACCAATTCCTAATTAAACCCTTTATAAAACATTGCTCCTAAACAAGTTTTCAAGGTAGTAGACCAGGAAGGCACCTGATCCTCAATAATAGATTTGTTTTTGGGTTCTCAATTGTGAAAAGTTTTTCCCACTGTAAAAATGCTCATGGAATCTTCCGTTCCTTAGCTTCTGAGGCCAATTATTATGATTCATTAGCTGGTATAGCTTTCTCTAGGTTTCTTCAAAACTGACAGCTGACCAAAGCCACCAATTCCAAATTAAACCCTTTATGAAACATTGCTCCTAAACAAATTTTCAAGGTAGTAGACCAGGAAACCTGATCCTCAATAATAGATTTGTTTTTGGGTTCTCAATTCTGAAAAGTTTTTTTCCACTGGAAAAAATGCTCATGTAATCTTCCTTTCCTTAGCTCCTGAGGCGAATGATTATGATTCATTAGCTGATGTAGTTTTCTCTAGGTTTCTTCAAAACTGACAGCTTTCTCACAGGAATTCTCACAGGAATCCAGATTTGTTTTGGTGGTAGTTTATTTTTGAGGGTCCTCTGTTTGTTTGAGGTGGGGGGGGGGACCCCCCTTTACTAATCAGGATCCAACATTATTTGTAACCTTGTCAGGTCTGTTTATACAGAAACAAGCTGGCAAGTCACTTTGGACTGTCTTTTCTCAATCTGGGAGTCTGGCAACGGCTGATATTTCCTCAACCTCCCTTTTGACTTTTCTCCCAATTAAGCCGCCATATGCAAAAGCAAACACTCGTTTTTCTACCTTTGTACCCTTTACATGCATATGTCATTGTGTGCGACCCTGTATGTATTTAAGCATAAATCTCATAAAGGGCAACAAACCCGTTCATGGTGCCGGGTTGCTGTCATTCAAAGACTTTCAAAGAAAATACTCTCTTTCTACATCTTTCTACCATGTGCATGATCTAACGCGAAAAACCCATCTCATCAACCTGTCAGACTGAGCATGCCACAGCGACGCAGAGCGCGCCGTTGGGCTTCGTTAGGTCCCGGGCTCCAACCAATTGAGCCGTTGAAGGCCTGGGAGCCCAAGCGCCGATGAGGCAAACGAGTGGCTCACCCAGTGGGTTGGACGTGAAATGGAAAGAAGATCGATAGATTAGATCGATATCATAGAACATCACATATGATTGGGGCGTGTTCCCCATGCGAAACACATGAGTTCTCACCGGGAAACATACACGGCCATGTGTTCCATGATGTGTTTAACCATGCTTTACCACCACTCGGACAATGACCATGTTTCGAGTGCCTTCAGCCGTCGCCCACCAGGCACCCGGACGTGGCAGCGTGGGCCACTGCCGTGCCTTCGGGAAGAAGTCGGCCACGACCGCCTGGCGCCTGGCGCGACCCGTCCCCGGTCCCGTCGGCCGTGCAGTCGTCCCGGTGCGTCCGCGCGGGTCGAGCGGGTCGTCGAGGTGTCCGGGCTCCGCGTCGACGCGGGGGCGGAACGCTTCACTGACCAAGTGATACCCCTGGCGGCCCTGGCGAGACCATGTCCGGTCACGCGAGACAAACATGTCCGGTCACGCCCAGCTGGTGGTTCTGATGCATCCGGAACATCACTGTTGGGGCTGCACGCAGCAGCACTGATCCTTAAAACAAAACACTCTACCCAGCCGCTGCTCCGTCTCTGAAATGGGAGGGCGATGGTTCCCAAGACTGTTTGAAGGACTTAGCATAGAGGGCTTTCGAACCTGCTTTTTGGTGGTTCTTTGGGATTGGAAAAGTGATGAAATGATGAAAGTGAATCTGCTCATATCTGCTCTCTACCTGTCAAGATCTCTGTAGTCTGTCACCTCTTGGGTGGTGTTAATGGCACATGGCCAAACTGGTCCAACGACAGTCGCCAGCCACTTGAGGTGGTTTGATCTGTTGGGTATCCCTGATGATCGTCGTAGTTGTCCCCAAATAATAGATACTGGTTTTAAACAAATAACAAGCAGAAACAGCGCAAAAATGTCCAGTGTGATTGTCCGAAAATAAAAGCACAAAATTGTCTGCGGCTCATTTTTGCAATAGGCTCCTTGCCCCGGACAATTGATTTCCTAGCTTCAGCAAGCAACACTTTGCATTGCCCTGCTTCCATGCCCAATAATGATAGCCTTCAGCAAACTCAAGCGGCTTCAACCAAGCAGGGCCTACTTGAAGCCGCCTGAGTGCGCTGAAGATGGCTTTCATTGATATTGCACTGCACGCACGCATGTTTGGCGTTGCGGTGGCCAAGTCAACGGCTACAAAGGACAAAGCGACACCAGCAGCTTCAAGGGCCACAACTTTGGAAGACCAGCTTGGCGCGAACTGTGGAGTCAAGGATGCCACGGCGACTGGGAAGTATTTGTCACACGCATCAGCACTTACTCCGAACTCCAGCTGGCGCGCATGGTGGCAGACGGCCGTCACTGACATGTCCTTGACTGCACGCGGCGGTAAACAATTACAACCCTTATACTCCATCGGCTTGCTGCGGCTTGCTCTTCCCTCACTGGCACTGAACTGGTTCAAAAATGTTTGCTTCTGTCGACAAAAGACTTCAACCAAGCTTGCTCCATCGCGGGATCTTTCCACAGCGGCTGAAGGCACCTGCCTCAAAGTCCAAGACTGCCTCTAGAACTGGAGTGGGCGTCTCGTTGATCGTCATTCGTTGACGGACTCTGGATGGCTCTGGTTCGTCAAGCTTGAACGCCCAGAACGTGGAGGCCACTGAACAGCCAGCGCAGCACTATGCACACCGTTGAGCGTCGAGCTGCGCGCCTTGCAACATCCAGGCCTTTTTGAGTGAAGCACATGTTGCTGGAAGCCAGCTTGATCTGCCCATTTCCTTGCAGTTCCCATTTCGCAGTGATTGCATCGCATGCAAGAAGGTGGACAGCGTTACTATGAACTCCACCGCCCACACACTGGCCTGAGCTAGCACTCCTCAACCAGCCATCGGGCGCCCGGCATTCCAATTCTCACTGCCTTCCAGTTTCGACACCGCATAGGCACACGTGTCTAAGAATACCCCATGGCTGGAATGGCAGTGAAAAAAACGTGTGTCCTGGGTGGCGTCCTGCAGCCTTTTGGGCGGCGCTGCGGCCATGAAAAGCAACAATTGAGCAACAAAAATCAAAACATTACCCTAGTGGCGATGGGCTCCAACCTAGTAGCGATAGCCTCCGACCTAGAAGCAATTTATCTCAAATGATTCAGCCGGGCCATGTCCCAAAAACTTTCACGGTCAAGTCAAGAGCTATGTCTTTGCTGTCAACTGTCACGATTTCAAACGATTAGTAGTCAGCTGTCTTCGTTCTGTCTTGCCTTTTGGTTTTGTTTGCTCGTCCTCACTGACCCACCCCTGGAATCTTTGCAGCTCTCCTAGGCTGCTAATTGAAAAAGAAATATACAATATATATATATATATATTCCTGTATTCTATTAAATTAAATATTTCTATTATATACCACCGCCCCAACTACTGTCCTTCATGACTAGGGATTGAGTCCCTTCAAGAAACCTCAGAAGATCTCAGTCCTACATTCATTGGCCCATATTCTTCCCCTGCAATCGCAGCACACCCAAGTCCCCGAGGAGAAACGGCGAGGACTGCGATCCGTCCCCGAGTCCCCCGACATGTCGTCGCGACGAAGCAAGGTCTCCAGCAGCCAAGCTCTCTGCTTCTCCTGGCCGCGACGGCAGAGGAGCAGTCGATGGCACGGTTCGGCCGCGACGTCGCCCATGTGCCGGGCGTCTGAGTTCAGATCAGGTTCAGTTCTGGAACGCACACACAACATTGCGGTCGGACCACGCGGCTGGCACTGACGTGCGGAGCTTGCTTGCAGCTGTCCATCTAACGTGCGGCCGGCACGGCTGATCTATGCCTGACCTTACATAGATTTTGCTTGGAAAGTACTTCGCACAGCCTCGTCAACAGGCCTGGGCTTACGCAACATGCTGCAGAGATAAACAACTGTCACTATCTCTCCGCAAGCAAGGGTGAATGGTGCCATCTCTTCACAGGTCAGGGACCATCACCAAAAACAGGATCGTTCTAGAACACAAGAGCAGGAAATCACTGAATTGTTTTTCATAAGAACTCCATCACTGCTCCACAAGCCCGTCCATGGGTGTATGCCGAAACGTCTCGTCAATGAAGAGGACATGTTTCAACATGGTATTCCTTTTGTAGGCTTTAGCAACATCCTACGACCGCTTTCTTTTTTCTGGTCGTCGCAGGTCCAAGTGGTTCCTCATGTGTGAATTTGATGGGCCAACGTTCAACATGGCATAGTATTGTTCGGGCCACCAGGGGGTGTTTTCTGAATTGCAGGTGGTGCACATCTCACTTTTGGGCATGTCACATCTCCACCCAACCACCAACCATGCGGCTTTTCACGACATGCGACCTCCACACAACCCTTCACCTCACCCACATCACGCCACCCGTGCCAGGCGAAGGCGCCTGGGGGGTGTACCGCAAGGGCGTGAAGGGCCGGAAAAAGGCCTCCGGCGGTCCGTGGCGCCGATCGACCAACGTAGACCTCTGTGAGTTGGGAGAAAGGGCACAAGGTGGGTGAGTTGTTCGTCCTTTTCTCGAAATGTGTGGTATAAATGTGGTATAAGTCGGTATAAGTCTTAAACATGTTGCCTTGTCCTGGAGGACTTTCAGTGGTAAACATCTATGGGACATGAGCTGCAGAAGCTTGCAAATAACAATGCTTGGTCTGACTGAACAAAGGCATTGTTCAAATTGTTCAAGAAATGAAATCCTCATACTGGACGCCAGGCTGTACCAATAGAAAAGGATAATTACCACGGTCACCGTAACGAAATGTAATGACTGCAGGTCATGGATTCTCTTATCTCCGGGTTTCACTATGTAGGTGAAGTGTGGCCGAACATGAGATCCTGGATGAGTCGTGGCTCCTAGGAACCTTCACAAGTGTGGAGCTTCGCGAACCCGGTGCACGTCACCACTGGCCTGGCTTGCTCGGTGCGAAACCGAGAAGAACCACATCCCACTGGCATGCTAGGTCAAACACATGGTGCTCACCGACCGACCCACACATGGGCAATCATATGTGTCCACACCCCCAAAAGTAGCCTTCTTCAAGCCCTATCTAAGTGAACAATCTGGACTACCATGGATGCTGTTCACACCTATTAACCATGTAGTGTTCTTTGGTCGCTTTTCGGTATTGCCCCACATGAGCACACCCAGCATCACACAGTGCTTTCGTACGTGCTTTCGCCACGGTCACAAAAAACGGCCTCAGGGCCATCCAGCAGCCAACCAACATGGTTGACCTTCAGCGAGGCATGCGGCCAGTGATGTCAACAGGACGAATCTCAGGGGTCGATTTAGTTGTTCACCTTCTTCGCGGTCTCTGGCTAAACCCCCCTCAATCAACCAACAGTAAAGGCAAAACTGTACGAAAACCGTACCTGAGCTTTGTAGATCTCCTCTGGGCTTTGTTGGTGGATAAGGGCATTCCAACTGAGCCCCAGTAGAGTGAAGTCAGTAGTGAAGTCCTTCGTTCCCACTGAAGCCGGGTATGCCACGGAACTTCCCGGATTCATTGCAGGGTTCACCTGCGATTTTGGTGCAAAAGCTTCGTCCCTATTCGAAGGAAGTGGCACGGGACGTGTGAGACGAAGTGTCCCTGGCTTGCAGCTTCCAGCTTTTTATGATTCGTGTAGATGTAGACTGTTGATAAAGACAATTAAAAAATCGAATATATGAAAACATACAGTTTGGATGGTAAGACCTCGTGATTCATGTGGAGGGTCATATAATTAATCAAGAGTCTGCATGAGTCTCCCCAAAATGTAGCAGCAGCAATCTGCTCCCAAAACTTGGCTGCTTTTGAGCAGGCGCAACTCTGTCAGGATACCAGGTCTTTGATGCAAAGATGCTGAAGAGTATGCTGAAGATAAGAAATGCTTTCTCACCCCACAATCATTCCACGACACCCCAGAGCGTCTGTCGGGTGATGATCTCGCACCCATTGAGAAAAGAAAAACACGACACGAATCGTGGACCGCCCCAAACGTGCCAAGGAATCAGGAACCAAGGCGGTCCATCGGTTGTGTGTCCTCGCATCTCAAGTTCTGTCTCTACTGCTGGCACTGATAAAGGGGAAAACAAAAGTCTGTCCGTTTGAGCACCTCCGACCTCCGACCGACGTCCCATCTGCATCTGCACATCGACTGCGTCTGGCCTCTAGATCCGCCTGCCCCGCCGGGCCCAGCGACACCGCCGGCAGCGCGGCCACATGGCTGGGCGCCTCAATTCAGGGGACAAAGGCGAAACGGTCGTGGAGAAGAAAAAACCATCGATTTGGGGTTGCTTAAGTTGCCTTGGTGGTTTCATTCACAAAAGAACTATAAGTTGCTTTAGTGGTTTCATATGGTTTCATTGCTTAAGTTGCTTGGTTTGGCTTTGGTTCTTTCATTCACAGAGCCCAGCCCTCGGAAGGTGACCCTTAGCCTTAGCCCCAACCCGTCCCACCTGGCCTTTTCCAGAAGCAGCTCCGACACCTGGCTCCGGCAGCGGTTTCCGAAAGGCACCCGAGGGTGCACCACGCGCGCTCGACACATCACGCGCGGAAGCCCCTCTCGTGGCGGAGCGCGAAGAAAATCCTTTCGCGATCTAAAAACCTTGGTTCAAACCGCCCAAAGAACAACACCGTTCAGAGCTCCCAAACATGCTATGTTCCACAACAAAAAGACACCAGAAATCCCCAGGGCCCCAGGATCTCTCCGGAAAATACACCGGACGATGACTCCGCGGGTCGCAGGGAACGTTTTCCGCCTCGGAGCGCAGGAGCCGTGTCTCCTCGCTGGGCGTCCTGGTCCAGCAAGGGGATGGATGGCCTCACGGTGGCTGACGGTGATTCTTTCGGGGATTCACTTTTTGAGGTATGCGGCGGTATGCGGCGGTATGCGGTATGATGGAAGATATGGAAATTAGCAGTGGATGTTTATCTCCAGAGCGGAGATAAAAGAAACTGAGGAATTGACGCAACTTGACAAGGGGCTCTGAATGTTCAACACTCATGAGGCTGTGTAGCTTCACAATGTTTGACTTTTGTTTGGCTTTCAATTTGTTTTATATTCCTTTTACAAAAGGCCTGGAGGTGGCCAGGTTTGAAGACTCAGAACAATTCCGGTGCCCAACATGAAGGAAACGAGCATCCAAAAAGATGGCTTGAAACACCAAACACCGGGTTTGGAGGTCTCTTGGACCAGCGGGATATCTGAACCTGTCTATGTTTGGATCCACATCGGCAAGAGTCTTTGGCGACGTCTCGGCGGTTGAACATCTAGGGCTTGGCCAGAATCAGCTTCGCATTCGTTTGCCAAGTTGGTCTTGGGGGTATATTACAAACAACAGAAACCGCCGGGGCATGTGGTTTGCCTGAGATTGTAGAGTTTCTCAACTATGTTCCAGCAAACCCAAAAGATGAGAGGAGTGGCCTGGGTACCCCTCTGCATTGCAGCAACATGGACCACCAAACTACTGGTTTTGTAAAGGGATTCTCTCTTGCAAGGGACGAGATGGGGGTCCTGTTTTGCCAGTGCGTGCCTTCACCGATGCCCGAACCCGAGTGGCCGGGCCGTCCCTTCCGTCCCGAGCCGTCTGTTCCTTGGTTCCTCGGTGCGGGCGCCCCGGGCAGAGAAGCTCGGAGAGCCGGGTCTGGATCTCCACGGGCATCCTCTGCCTGGGCGAGCGTCGGGCGTGACTCGGCGACGTGTCCGAGAGCCGAGCCGTCCGGAAACCGCGACACGGAGGGCCCATCGAAAGAAGCAGCCGAGACTGGACCAGTTCTGGCGCCGCTCCGACCAGCCAATGGGGGGCCAAATCGGGTCCTCAAACTCGTCGATCTTTATATACTTGGCGTGGGGCCACGGCAGTTGTTGACATACCAACTGTACCTGTAACTGGACAAAAAGCCTTCAAGAAGTTGGTTTCTCATCGAACCCTACTAGTACGCATTCCAGTTGCCAGCGTATCCGTATGATTGCCCAGTGGAAATTGCTAAGGAGAGGGCAAGCTCAAACGTGCGCTTCCATCTTCCTGCGGGCGTTTGACGAGCTAAATAAAGGGCTCAAGTCTTGGATTCTGTGGCATGAGATGCACATAGTTCAAGGAAGCAACAATGAACAAGTACACACCCCACACCCTAATGAGTAGGCCCAAAAATATATCAGATCAATTTGTTCCAAGGACAACTAACTAAAGTACATCTTATCATCTAATTATATACTATATACTCTGTATTCATCTCCGTTCACCTTTATCTGGCGATACTCAGGACCGAAGAATCTAACTAAGAGTTTAACATTACCACTAAAACACGTGAACTCGCCGCTCACATCAACCCTCGGTGCTCTCATTGCAACTTAGCCAGGATGCCCCACAAACCGATGGACAGGCCATCTGGCCCCATATCGACCAGATGATCATCAAACGACCACAAAAGAAACAAACGAGTCCATGTGTGAATTGATTTTACGTATATAACTGTATGTCATGTCTACCACTCTTCAGCATGACATGTCTACCAGACTGGCGGGTCCCAGCGGGTCCGACCCCGCACCGTCTTCGGACGCGTACCGGTCGAGGCCTGAGCCAGGATGAAGAGGATGTAGTTGCGCCTCGCTGAGTGGTATGGAGACGCGTACCGGAGCTCATCGGGTCGAGGGAAGACATCCAAACCACCTCAGATTAGGAGACGTCGGAAAATCCATAGCCTGGAGTGGTGAAGTCCTTCCTGCAAACCAATCATTTTGGCCTGCAAACGCGTGAAGCATCTATGGAAAACCACCTCGGAGCTCGAGGATGTTCGAATCTCTTGAACCAGAGCGTTGCCGGTTGAATTGGACCGCCGGGTGTTGCAGAGCTCCTCCGTAGTCTGGACCACTGAAGCTTCAGAAGCGGCTAAGCCTACCACTGACACTTTTTCCAGTAGCCAACCCCTCTAGACAACCCAAGAGTATCCAGGAAAAAAGGAAGCACCAGGTGTCCTACACTCCTCTAAATAATCATGGAAGTGGACAATGGCCGGTGTTCCATGATTCTTTCAGGGAGTGTATGCGATGGAAAAACTAACATCCCCTCTGATTCTATGGCTTCATTCAGCTGAAATGGAAATCTAGCTTGGGGTTCCCTAAGCTCACTAAGCTCACCTCCGTCCCAGTCCGGCACTGCTCTCGTCCGCTGTGCCCCCCTTCAGAGTGGTGAGGTTCTGCTCCGACAGCTCCCGCGGGCGCAGGGTCGCCTCAAGGGCGGACGAGACCGGACGGCTGGATGCCGAGACCGGCAGTTCTTGACAAAAGGGCATCTTCAGAACGGACAAATCAAGAGTTCCAGTGCAGTGCAAAAATACTTGAGTGGTCCTAATCATGGGACACTTCTGTCTCACGGCCTCCAACCTAACAAAGTCCAAACATCCGGCTGGCTACAATCGCCCCAGGGCGCATTTTCGAGAATCTCTCAACCCCGAACTCCAACAATCCTGTCACGGAATGTACAGTATATTAATTTGGATACCAGTTGGAAGGCTCGCTTGCTCCTAAAAGACTATAGTTGGAACTAAGGTCGTTGTGTTTAAACAGTCCCCACCCTAGCTCTTTCCCTGAAATGCAGAGCTGGATAGAGGTGGAGTAGTGGAGCAGTGACTAGTGGCCCGCCTGTCCGGTCTGTGTTGCACCGGATTTAAACCCCGGACATGCGATCACCACAAGGCTCGACCCAAACGAATCGCCCTCGTTGGAAGCCGCGGTCTTTCGAATTGCCCTCGGCCGAGCACCCTGACCGAGCCTCCACCGCGACTCCACTCGTCGGGCTGAGGTTCCAAATCCAAAACCGAAGGTGTCCGGTCAAACGACAAGACACACAACCTCCCGCAGCCAAGTTGGAACCCAAAAAAAAAGGATAGGTCATTGAAACGTGGGAACGTCGACGTTTCGCTGTGGAAAAAAATAATAGCCCTGCTGGGCTGTCCCTGCAACCCAGCTGAGCAAATGTCTCAGCTGCATGTCCTGCAGAGGTGAAAAGAAAAAACATGTGGGTTAACTTGATCGAAGCATCTTGATATATCTCACTGCATATATGATTGCCTGGCGTGTGCTCCCAAAGGGTCAAGTATTCTGACTTTAGTTCTTTATTATGTGTTTACAGTTACTTTATAATATACATTGTCAAAAAGTTGTGGAACTACAAGACAAACGATTGAAACCTCCCGCGAGTCGGACTGCTGACATGGTGCTTTCGACGAACGAAGCCAAAAGAAAGCCAAAGCGCATGGAAGTCCAGTGGTGCATCTCTTCCTTTCAGCCTCTTACTCGACTCCGTCACCGTCCGCGGTCCGCGCATGGAGTCCTGCAACACGCTGCCCGAGAGCCACAAGCTTTCGATCAGTGAGACCTGGGTGCGAAGCTAGCTGAGGACACGGTCCAGGGATGTCTACTTACTTAGTCTAACGGGATCTGTGGGTCCAATGGATCCTAGGTGGGTGGATGGAGGATACATGGTCCAACCAAAGTTCAATATATTTCCGTGCAAGGCACAATCCATTGGACATCCACCTTCAAAAGCATCTGCAATGCAAACATCCAGATCAACTCGTCATGTTCTTCATCCATGCCGTACTTACTGAACCGTGGCCATTCGAAAACACACCCGCCGAGCTCGTGGAACCTCAACCGCTCCACCAGGTCGGCCGTGCCCGTCGGGCGCGTTCTGACTCTGACCACCTGGACCACTTCGCCTAACAGGACCTGCTTGGGACTGCCATCGTGGCCTACATGTTGGGTGGCTTGGTGGGTCAGAATCTAGGGGTATGAGAAAACACATCATGGACTGCTACAGGTCATGGGACATCCCCCATGGCCCTTCCCCACACCCAGCCCGGTACGTGTCGACGGATGCTCGTGTGGATATTCAGGCCTCTCTTAGAGCGGCTCTTAGAGCGGAAGTCCTGAATTTCATCTAAGGCCACGACGAAAAAAGAAAAACAAAGAAACAATGATAGATCATGATAGACATTGATAGACGATAGACACTCACTTTGAATCACTTTGAGTCGGATTAAGGAAAAAACCTTAAAAGAAAGAAAAACACCAAGACCATCCAAGACCGAACATTCACGACATGCAGAAGACCGACCACCGGGCTGGCTGGAGGCCCGGGGCGACTCGTAGCTCCTTTCCTCCACCGCCACCGCGGAAGTCTCCGGGTGACCCGGGCTGTATCCACCACGGGCAGGGGACGCTCGGGTGACGTCTCGGCCAAAATCCTGAAGGCCAGTGCTGGGCTACTCGCGAGCTACAGCCACACAGGATGGGGGGGGCCCTCTGTGCATTGAAGGATGGTGACCTTTTTGGGGAGGGGCATTCTTCAACCATCCAGTATTTTTCGTGTCGGGATCGACCAGGTGAACTAATAGCCCGGTTCTGCAACCAGACCGTTTAACAAACATGGAACTGGATTTTTCCACTTGTTAGATAGAGGAAACTCATTTTCCTAGGGGGCATGGTCCACTTCCATGTTGGAGGGGGAGGCTCTTTGCTGTTGTCCGGTCTGAGACTGTGGCTGAGTCGGGTGCTCGTAAGCCGCTCGCGCGGAGCACCCGACGAAGACCGCGGGAGGAGAATCGCACGAGCTTTTCGCCGGAACGGTCGGAGTGAACTGCTTTTCAATTCGCCGGGAGGGTTTTCCTCTGGGCACCCCATCCCTAACCTCGAAGCACCCCGAACTGGAACTCGCCCAGTTTCAACAGCTCCAATAATGCCTTAGCTCAAAAAGCTAGGAGTCAGGAACACGCAGGTTGCAGAGCATTTCTTACATAATGAGGGCTTTGGACCCGATTTCTTGAGCCCTTCGACCATCAGGCTTTTGAGCAGATTCGACGAGGCCACGGATGGATTCAACCAAGGCCAGGGTAAACGAAAACAGGTTCCCCAATAAGAATCTTGAGTTGTTGAATCCAAATGGAGGATCTCTAGAATCTCTATAATCAAGATTCTATATTACTTGGAACATCTTGGAACAAACGATCCGTTGGATTGCACGAAAAATGAACCGGCTGACAGGCTGAACCCCAGAACCCCAGGAACCCTAAACCAAAAATGAGAACATGCTCTTCATCCCACTCGAAAGGTCCCATCGAGCCCGCAGCTGATGTCTCACGCGAGACGACAGCCGAAATCGCGACGTCTCCTGCACGTCATCTCCTTCACATCGCGGTTCTCGGTGAGTTCCAGCTGAGTGGCCGCAGCCAGGAAACGCACCATGCCCATGGTCGGCAGCCGTGCCAGCTCCTGCGTCGGCGACGATGGAGACGGTGAGAGCACCACGGTGCCAGCAGGTCAAATCAGAAGGTGTGAGGGAGAGATGGAATGAACTGGAAGAACTGACAGGGAGGAGGATCTGAGTTGCTAAACTCCAAGCCTTTACACGTAGGGCTCTAGATAAGAGTTTGTCGATCATTCACTCTTCCAAATTCGGAGAAAGTCGCGCGGAATTCCACCTGCGTTTTAATGGTCCACACCCTAGCTCATCCCCTTAACTGCAGGAGTGGGGTAGTGGCCTGCATGTCCGCCTAGTGTTGCACCTGAGTCACCTGAGTGCATGAGGGATGCGTCATAGCCACTATATAGACCATGCCGACCCTCGGAATTCCGCCCGTTTTTGGGGTGACCACTCCAGCTTAGGAGAACCTCTTCGTCAGCAGCCACGAGTGGCTGCGCAGCGGACTCACCCAGTCGCACCCTTGCGTGGCGCACCGCTTCACTCTTTTTCAGCCGAGTCAGAGGTTCGCATGTTGCGGTACCACTGTTGAGTACAGCTTCATGAAGGACTCAGTGATTATACCGCACACAGTGCAAATCAACCATTCCTCCCGCCCCATCTCAAAGTCTTGACAATCAAAGTGCCTTTTTTGTCCATGTTCTTGAACATGTGTGGGTCCCATTACCATTGCCTCATAGCTTTTGATAGGTGTGTGCTTTGAGAAACAGCCAACTTGCTTGAAACTGCCTTCAAATCGGCGCAGCTTGGGATCCCCAGGCACATCTAACCTTTGACGATGCCTTTGACCTCCCTCTCGGCCTTTGCCAAAGGCTTCACCACATTCACAATCTTGCACCTCAACTCAGCTGATCGAAAGGATCGAAACGCACCGAATGAAAGTTAACATGTTCTATCCACTGCCAGGCCAATCCGCAGCAAAGTACTTCGCGCATTTCTTTAAACAAAAACACTCGCAGCGTGGGATTTGTGTCACTTGCGACAAGTTCGCATTCATCGACTCATTTTTGTGCCAGGGTGCTTGGTGTATGGATGGCTAAAGCCACCCTCGGGCACAGCTCCTTCACCACCTTTGCTGGTGCTGGTCGAACTGCTGATTTCCTCATACTCAATGACCATACCATCTTCAGCTGTGCCAACCATACCTCAGAGATTCTCTTGCCGGTGAGGTTTCCAGAGTCAGCCATCAAGAAAACAATAACTCACTGACAATACTGTAGTTAGTACCTTACAGGTCAACTGACAGTATAGATCAGATCATACTAACTGACCCCCTCTGCGTTTTACTAATTGAAGCCATTGTTTGTTGATCGCTGGATTTACCCGGGTGAAGTAGGACGCAACGAACCGATGGGACAGGAGTGGATGGGCAGTGGAGCAATAAGTCATGAATATCCCCATCATCAAGTCATGCATATCTCCATCATGGGGGCTTCTAGAATTGTCTACATTCACGCGAAGCTTGGGTGTTGACGCAACTGGCTGCTGCTTCCCAAGGAAAACGAGATGCGATTCCATTCGTCTTTGTTGAACTCGAACTTCGGGTAGCTGGCCGACATCATGCCTTCCTGCTGCGACACCGGCGAATGAGATCATATGCCGTTATATGCCATGGAACACACAAACACATAGTCATAGTCAACCATAGTCAGTCAGCCCATGTCAACCAAAAATAGATGGAGCCGTGGTGTGCCGTCAAACATGCACTAGAAACTGTTTATCTCAACTTGGAAGACCACGATGGTCGTGTTTCATCCTACCTGCTTACCACCAATACTGTGCCTGCTTGCATGCTGCGACATCTCCTTCAAGTGCTGCAGAAAAACATGCAAATACTGTTCAATAGAAGTTTAAACAAATGTAATAAACTACTGTAGTTTATTACTTATTGATTCATTTATTAATGACAACAATAATCATAACAACACACACTCTCTCCTTGGGTCGGTACTCGACCTTGTCATCCATGACCTTCACAGTCATGTGCACTCGGCCCAGCTCAAGCTTCGACATCTGCTTGCCTCGGAGATCGATTCTACAAGGCGGTGGTGCCTCGATGCTAGTTGTTCGAATGAAAACTAAAAAGTGTTTGGTTTGAAAGCAAGACAGAGGATATATTGATTTATATTGATATACAGTATACAAATGAAGGCAATACTTGTGGAGGATCTACGTTCTAGCTAGGAAACATCTGGAAAATTACATGACAAATTGTGGAGTAAAACTGTTCGGATTTGCTTGTTGGAAACATTTAAAAGCTCAGGGAACTACGCTCACCGAACCTCGTGAAGAACCAGGAGAATACCAGCTCAAGCCAGCTATCATACTGGAGGACATTTCTTGAATGAAAGAGCAAACACATTGGAGGCTGTGGTGGATTGGCACCCAATCCACCTGCAACAGTACAGTAGTGAACAAAACAACCTCCCCAGCGCCCCAAAATCGTGTCACTGTGAGGGACTGTGAGGGACCCCAAAACGGGAGCCTATGTGGTGGCTCACGGGTCGGTCTGAACATGGTTTCTGGATGCGTTCATGGAGCTCACGTGGGCGGCTGCAAGAGCGAAGAGGGCAAATGTTGCGAAAAGGCTTTGCTTCATAGCAACTTCCCAAAGGGGAGTCTTTGAGCCTCTATTCGCGATTGGATTCCATGGGTCCGAACGCATGGATATGTGTGCAATCGTGTGCGTCCGCCCGTGTGTGTGTGTATATGTGTATGTGTGCCTCTTTATATAATATATATATATATATATCCCGAAAACTGAATGTGTATGTATGATATATGTATCTATTATATATATACATACACATGCAGTTTTCGGGATCAAAAAGCATTGCATCTAACAAACATAGTACAATATATATATATATAATATGCATGATCCTTAAGACAGTCGTGCGCCGAGTGGAGAAGGGGGTCAAGTGGCTGAAGGGGAGGTGTTGAAAAAAGGTTGAAAGAAACTACCAGCTTGCTGGCTTTGGCATACAGTTTTGAATGTGTGAAAAACAGCTGTGGGTTGACCACAGGGAGGCTCTCCAAAGGTTTTCCCTGAAACATCCCCAAAGAAGCGCTGTAGCCTACATCTCTATTACCCTCCCAAACAAAACATGGAATCGGAAAAACCCACCCCACCCTACTTTGTGTAGGACAATGGCCCTTCCAAGAGTCCAGTGTCCACTTCCATTGACCAACTTGCAGGGAGGGCATTCCCACTTGACCAACTTAACTGATATTAGAAACAAGAAGCTACTAGGAACAAGTGCATCGCTACTAGTAGCAAGTGCCTTACTAGTAGTAACAAGAAGCGAACGTAGAAACAAGTGCATCTTGGCCCCCCGTGATCTGAGAAAAGGCTCCTGTTGCCGCTGGAAGCGCTGGTAGATGCGAGCCAGCTCGGGGATGCGGATCTGCACCGCCTGGGAGGTTTGGCAGTGCAGTGGCTCAAGGTTCAGTTCATTGGAGCGGCTCAAGGAACAAAAAACAAACACATCTTTCTTCCCCAAAGGGATTTCTATGAGGAAGTGGCTCAAGTTGCCAGCCCAACGGGGCCAGGTACTGGGCCAGGTACTGGGATGGCTGCACAATAACGACCCATCCGCAAACTTGAGCCTGGGTGTCTTTTTCCCGATGGGGTTAGCTCCTGTTTGAGTCATAGATACCAGGGACCTTGGGCAGCACAAGCATTGAGACCCCAGTTGTGCAGTATATATACACAAAACTAGGAGTTCTTAGGATGTCTTCATGGTTTGCAAACCTTCATAGCTCTGCATCTCTGTCGCCTGGGCACCCGCGCGGCAAAGGCCTCGAGCACGACGATGGCCTTTAAGAATGCGACGATGGCAGCGTCAGAAATGGGTTTGAACGTACAGAGAAATTTGGAATGATTTCAAAATGATATTGATATATATATATATATATTGATCAACATCATATATCGGAGATAGATGGAGATAGGGAGAAAGTAATAGGGAGACATGAGAAATTAGGGCCCCTGAGTTCAGGTTGACCCAATTGAACCTCTCTGGATACGATCACAACTTTCACTTTTCCACCTGTTCTAGCGTGGACCCATGACAGAACGCACAGCTCCGTGTGGATTGGGTGTTTTTCCTCCTGCGCAGGTCAACCGTTTTGAGGGTGGCCGTGGTTCTTTAAGTACGCTCGGGGAACATTCTGGAAAGACAAAACATCGTTGTGCAGCCGTGAAATGCCACCAAAACAGCTAGGGGACACCTGGGGAACTGGAGAACATTTTGTGGATACTTTACAAACTCATACAAACTCCAAAAACTCACACAAGCAAACAAGCTACGGCCAGTTCACTTGGTCGCAAATCTGGTGTACTCGAGCCTTTAGTTGCGCCCTCGCTCTGGAGCGCCCTTGTGCAATTGAACTTTTTGGTAAACCAGAAAATGAAGCCTTTCACCAGATCTTGTTTGGAGGTGTTTCAAATCCACCTCTTCAGGTGGATCTCGGAGCCAATGGCGGTCTGACACACCCAGAAAGAAGCCTCGACTCTTGCATGGTGCAACGGGTACAGGTGGGAATTTGTACAAGGGCAGCAAACCAAAATGAACCAGGACATACGCATTGTGACATGGAGTCCAAGGAAACGTGGAAACAATCTACGGTGAAACCGAATGCGCTAAGAGCGAAAAAGTCAAAAACGTAATAAGCAAAAGCAAAGAAAAAGAAAGCACGTGTCATTGTACTGAGCTTGGCCCGATATTTAAAGATATGGCAACCCCCAAATTCCAAGCACCTAATTTGGGTCATTTAAAAGGACCTTTGGTCCAAGTACTTCTTGGACAAACCACGTGCCGTGCGTGAAAAACAGGGTCTTCGTGGTCATGCCGCTGCAGTGCCGCACCTGGTGACCGTCGGGTTCACGGGAGCGATCCGCCAACTCAAGGGTGACCTCGCCATGCGCCTGCTGCCATGTCAAGGGTTGCTTCTTCTGCAACAGCTCCAACAAGGCCGCTTCGAAGACCAAATGGTATGGCCTTGGCTGAATGGTATGGCGCCCCACTTGTGACAGGCGTGCCGTGAAAGGACATGGGTATGAGAATGGTGTGAGGACATGACATGAAGCTTTGGCAAGTGTGTGTTTGAATCAAAATGATGTTTGCGGGAATATGCATAATTATGAATTCTTATCAGAATCCATCATAATTATGAATTGTTATCATAACATATATGAGTTGAATCTGAAATAGAATTAGGTTGAATCTCGGAAGCATGTTCTGATGCTTTCGACCCACACGACCCGCTTGGAAAACCACCTTTCACTGGGTGTCCTGGCAGGCCCATGTCAGCAAACCTCAGCAACTTGTGCATCCACACTTGAAATCAATCAAAGAACAGTGGAGTGTTTTCTGCGTTTGGTATTGATATTAATGGTGATAGTGATGCTCTGTAAAGATTACCAACTTGTTGGGTTCAATGGAAAGCAAGGTTCACCACTCATGAACTGCCAATGGTTTAGCAACAGAGACCCTTTTTTCAAGCACTGTTTGCTACCAAATGCTCCCAACATCCCGCATCAAGACTTCCAGCAAACTTACAGACTTCATCTCCTCATCAAATCAAATTAAATACCATCCGTTCCTCCTCATCAGTTCGGACACCTTCTCTGTGCTTCAGGCACATCCACGGCGGAGACCAGCTGCAAACTCGTCAGCTCCGGCGAGCGCATCGCCACCTCTCTCAGGTGGCTGCGGCCGGGGCCGGGGTGATTTTAGAGTGTTGCTGGAAGAAGACCTGCAACAAGTGGAGGTTTTACATGGATTTACATGGATGCGCAACATCCTTCACATGACCGAATGATTCATGTAGACTCTTCATTGATAAACCCCCCACATGAGCTTTATTCATCAAAAGCCAAGGTCAGCTCGGGTGGTGCATTAGATCCTTTTCAGGAATCACTGACTGACAACGACCGAAATGAGACTGGAACAAACTGAACATGATGGTGGCACACGACGTCACCGTTCACACTGCTGGAATATAAATCGCCGATCCGTTTTGGAGAGTTAAATGGTTGTGCAGGAGCACAGAACAAGTGGCCAAGTCCACATCTTGCACGTCTTCCAGGCCTGTCATATGGGGAGATCCCCTACGCCCTTGGTCCCACGGAAAACACACGGTGGCCTTTGAAGTCCAAGTGGGTGTTGCGGAGCTCCGCTGTGCTGTTCCCTCCACCACCAAGAACACACCACCCCAAACCCCCAAACCATCAAAACCGCGCGCAAAAGCCGCAGTAGTTGAACCGCGCTTGAACCGCAAAGACAGACCACCAGCACCACCAGCACCAGCGACTCTACGGAGGAGACACCCTTCGACGTCTCCGGACTCCGATTCCCCCGACGCGTCCCGCCTGATCGCCCAGGCGCTCCACCACCTCGAGCCTCGCGAAGGGAAGCGACCTGGGGACCTCAGGGCTTCACCTGGGGACCTAAGGGTTTCGTTTTGTTTTGAGAGGGGAGCGCTGGTTTTGCGTGTGTATTTTTCAGTAAATATCAAAAATACCAATCCTGTAGAGGAATAGTTGGCCCCTTGTGCTCAAGTATGTCCACCTGAGGTTTGGTATTTTTGGTATTTGGAGGGAGTGCCAAGTGCTCCTCTACAGGATTTGTATGTTTTTGTATTTTTGGTATTTGGGGGGAGGGCCGTACTATTCCTCTATAGGATTCTGTTTTGCAAGAAGCACGCCTATATATGAAAAAGGCGCGCACTATTCCTGTACAGGATTGGTATTTGCAAGAAGCACACCTATATGAAAAAGGCATCAGCAGGAAAACACTGAAAAACACACGCTCACAGCGCTCCTTTCTGTTTGTTTTTTGCTTTTTTGTGATACACTAGACTATACATCACTATACACCTAAGGGATTTGACGATTTGTGTTGTTTTTTCCTTGTTTTCCAGTGTTTTTTCCAGGGGCCCTCATGCGAGACCCGACCTGGAGCAGTGGACCTCCTTGAGAAGATTGCCCCATGGACCTGGCAGTGGAGCACTGCCTGTTGGGCAACATGATCGGCGTCCTCCCTTCCTTTTGAACATGATGGGCGAACACCAGCGAAACTATGCGAAACTGTAGTCACTGTAGTCTTTGGAAAGTGCTTGTGAGCTTGGCATCACCATGGGGAGGACTGGCTGAATCGAAGGCCTGGAGTCCTGGAGATCTGGAAGCTCCTTTCTGCACCCCATCTCCTGGAGTTTCTCCTCCCCTCCCACAACAAAGCTCCTCCCTCCCCAATGGAACTCCGCCCAAACGCCCCTGGGCTCCGCGGACAGCAAGGCTTCGCGCTGGATGCGCCAGCGCCCGGCCAGGAGCACCTGGCCCCCGTGACACCCTGATCTCCGGGAGATGAAGAATGAGAATTACATAGAATATCATAGGATTACTACGGCCAGCCTGCCTAAAAAGATGGTAAGAATGCACAACACGTATGCCAAACGGTCGTGGATTTCCTCCATCAACAGTACTGGGCGCTCACTGATAGATGAACAAGAACCAACAAAAAACTCCGGAGTTTGCCCTTACGGACTCTATTCTTGATGCAATCAGGGATGTTGAGACACGCACCCACAGCTTTTGTTGTTTCAAACCGGGCAACAATGGCACTGGGCTTCAGAACATTGAAAGGATTCTTTTTGACACAGGTATGACTTTAGGCTCTAAGCAATGAGGTTTGTCTTCCCGAGAATTCCTGCGACATCAAAATGTGTGTTCGAAGCAATCAAAGTTGAACACACACAACTGCCTCTTGAGCCTCTTGAGTGACCTTTATCTAGACTACTTATGTGCTTGTGAGAGATGTTCGCACATCGGATCCTGGATGCAAGGCAGGGACTTTAAAGCCCTTTCCATGCAACAAATGTGACCAGGACAAGGATCTCAAAGTGGATCCAAACCACGCCATTCGCTCCGCCCTTCGGCACCCAGTGGCCGAAGGCGGTCGTGGAATCCTATTCCGACTGTCTGGAACTGATCGTCGAAAGCCGAGAACACAGGCGTGTGGCGCATTTGACAAAGCTGGCAGCAGCTCATCCTTGCTGAGACTCTCCTCGGAACTGGTCGGAGGGAAGGCTTTTGAAGGGGCGCAGAACATAGGCAAAAATTCCATGTTCTCGTGCCTTAGTACGAAACCATCCGTTGGGGGTCACCTGGCTGCACTACACCGCCAGACTGGATTTCCATCAGACACACGAACTGAATGTCTCACGCGATGTCAATCAAAATAGGAACTTGCCCTTCGGAAACTTGTTGTTTCACTCGTTTCTTCTACCAACCCTGGCACTCTATCTTTGAGCCACGTGGCCTTTTCCAGGCTCCATCCACCGTGAGCAGCTCTATCCTCCCATATCCTCCCTGGGTTTCCCTGCCACAGTGGCCAGGAAGCGGTCCGCCACCATGGACAACTGCGGCTCGGCGCTTTTCCGCTCAGCGGAGTCGATCGGGTCTTCCGAGACCGCGATCGAGGCGGAGGCGGAGTCGATCGACGGTCGAGGCGCCTTGGACGCGCCTTGGACGGTCGTTTTTCAATTAAACGATCTCCACATCCATCCCCCAATTTTGGAGTTAGTAGAAGCGGATAGATTTGTTTTTGTGGATGGTTTTTTAGGAACCAGCCTAGGTTATTGAAGAACCAGCTACTTCGTAGAGTTTTTGAACATTGACCATTGACCTGTACCATTGTTTGGGGAAGCTGATATGAGCACCAGCCAGCCAGGTGACTGCGAAAGGATGCTTCTGGTAGCTTCCATGTTCCTTCAGCTCGTTTTTGGCTCCCAACATTCAAGTCACGGCCATGTTATTTCAAAATGGATGGATCTACACGGAACCTTTTCCATAAGTCACCCAGGCAAACTCTAGGCTTTTGAATGCTTCTGATGTTTTCCATGTTTTCCTTCCAGTTCCAGATTTGCAAGATGACGCTCACCCAAAATGTAGCTCCAAAATCACCCCTGACCCCGGGCAGCGCTAAATTTACCTATAGTTGGATTGCAGGGCCTCCGTCCGTTGTTCTTCTTGGGTGTTAGCTCTTCATATCTCTTCATAGAGCAGCTTGGGTCTGTCCCATTCCAAGCAGCTGTGGTGGACTCTGACTCTGGTTTATCGAAGCCAGACGTCGAGATCAATGCTTGCTACTACGAACCCAAGCTGGCTGCCACTCAAACTACTTGTGCCTGCAAGTCTTTGTCCATCCCAAGAAGGGAAAGACCTGGCCATCCTCTGCACCTTCCTGATTCCTCACAACACAGCCAGCATCCTGAGTCACTGCCTTCTGCAGCAGGCGCATGTCGCCGCCGAAAAAAATATGTTGCCACTTCAGCTCCTGAAGCACAGCTGTGTGTCGCCATAAATGGAAAGAACCACTTCAAGCCTTGTGTCGCAGCAGTGACGTAGTGATCTCTCCCTTGCCAAAGGTCAGCCCAAAATATAGGGTGGGCTTCAACCACAGGCTTCAACCAGCCAAGTGTGCGGATGAGGACGCTGTGTCATCCTCTGGGAGGGGAGCAACTAAAGCTGCTCAACTTGGTGTAGGATTGTGGGCTTCGCCTCCTAATCTCCACGAGACCGTTGCTGCCGTTCCCACTTGCTCTTCTACGAGACCTGCTTGCAGTCGAACTATAGCGGGGGCTTTGAAGGCGCCAAGCTTCTCCGCGCGCGACAAACACCGGACCAGCTGGGTCCGGACACGGCCGGTGAGGTGTCAAACGTGGGCATTCTCTTTGACCCAGGAGACCCATGCAGGCCCGTGCATACAGGCCCATGTGGGCATTTACGTCACCACGTCCTTGACCAACAATGTCGTTCGTGGTTCCATTCACTTCCTTTGACCAATGCAAATAAATGGTCTTCTTGCTCATCCAGCTAAGGAGTCGAAGCAAATGGTCGTCGATGCTCCTGTCCGCGGGTCCTGTCCGGCCGGTCAGTGAGTCCGGCGTTCCGGACTGCAACGGAGCCAAGCAATCAAGAGATCTACAAGGATGTGGTGAGTAGGTCAATAGGGAGACCCCAACCAATGGGCGTTGGTCTATGTTCCTTCTTCCGGTCTTGGGGAGGTCCTTTTTCTACCGATCTGGGAGCGCTCCAAATCCGTTGGGGGAATTTTTGGGAGTCCAGAGTCCGTGGTGATCTATCTACCACTGCTCCATCTACCACACCACCATTGTACCATTGTAACAATGGATCACCACTGGTTCGTTGCCCCTGGGAAAACCCGATACAAGACCGGTGATGCTGATCCAGGATCGGGTTTGTCCCATGTTTGGGTGGCCGGCGCCTCCGTGGGATTGGCCTTCTTGGCCTTCCCCAGCCGTCCAAGGCCTTTTGGGGCGGCGGAGTCGGTCTGTGGGGGAGCTGCGACTGCCGCGGGACCCAGAGAGTGGGCTTATAGACATATTATATATATATATAATGTATATATAATATATATATATAGAGATAGATAGATAGAGAGAGAGAGAGGGAGACACTATATAATAGCTATTAAGAGAATCTATGATGAGAGACGGGAGGAATTCATACGATTCGGGACAAATGGACACCCGGAGCAAAACTCAGTGCCTGTAATGGCCACTTGCCTTTGAGAATTCAATGTTCAAAAGGTGTATGTCGAACGTTACAACTCATGGCATAGGTTCTCAACCCCAGGTTCGACATACTTCACATCCAAAAGGCTCTTGGCATATCCCGTTCCGCCTCAGTCTGCCAGGCCACATCTGAGGCAATCCTGGACCCATCCTCAACTCTGAGATTCCCTGCTCCCCCTTCACTGCTCCAAAACCCCCCACATACCCCAAGAACACCCCAAACGAACTCTTCCAGGTCCACCATCTCCACCAAAGCCTCTCCAACCACCCTCGTTCGGCCCTTCGGCCCTTCGGCCCCTCAGCTCCAGGCGCTCCGCCAGCTCCAATGGGCTCAACGGTCGTTCCTCGTCAAAGCCGCCTCGCTGGAGGCGGAGGACCGCGCGCGCGGAGTCCGTAAGCAGTGGCTAAGCTGAGCCGTGGCGGAGTGAAACACGCAGGCAGGGGAGCAAGCTCACTGAGCATTCAGCTTGGGTGATTTCACGCAGGATGCTAGTTGTTTCACTAGAAGGAGGGGCCGCGTATGAAGAGCGATGGGGATTCAAGATGCGGAGACCCCGACAAAAAGCATCAGCAAGCTTCGAAGCTTGCTTTCTTTTCCCACCTCAGCACAGGCGAATTCAGATAAAGGTCATAGATTTCTACCTCAGAATTCGCAGCCATAAGATTCACTGAAAACGCACAAACCCAAAACCCAACCCCAAATCTGTTTGACCCCCCTGTCTTTAACCAAACGCGGCAACAGAAAACACGTCTCTCCATGTCGAAACCTCTCTCCATGTGAGTCTCAGGGGGAAGATGGTGGCATTGGAGAAGATACACCCGGGTTCCGAGACCCACATGGAACCGGGCGACCGGCATGGATTTGCACGCCCGGGTCTGACGACTTTCCTCATCCTCTACCGCCCTTGGCGTGGGTTCCGACGCGGGTTCCGAGCGTGGACCTCGACTCCGGCGGTGTTCTGAAGTCCTTGGACCCGACCCCGGCGACGTGAGTCCCCCCCAGGTGTTCGCCTGATGCAGCTCCCATCTTGGTCTCGACCTCTTCAGCCTGGACATGGCAGTCAGCCAGTGGTGGCTGAAAACTCAAGCCTTACCCTCAACGGATGGAGGCCATGTTTCTTCAACGGGTCAGTTATTGAGACTTCCATCACTGGATGAATCTGTAGAGTGCCCCTGTCTCAGTTACTTGGGAAGAGGTGGGTAAACTAAACTTATCTAAGCTTTGTTTGACCTTCCATGTATATTATGACAATGTGTGTAATCTAGAATTTCAATTGGACCCAATCCCGCCAAATTCAAGTGTGGAAGATTCAACACTGAGGGAGGGGGGGGGGGTTGCATACCCCGAGATCCCGCCATGGTCATTGCTGTCGAGAGGTGCCCGGTGCTTCGATGGGGTGAGGAATCCACCAGCTAGCCGGGATGAATGAAATGAGCAGGTGAGAGAAATAGCGAACATCTTCACTGGCCAGGGCGAACAATGGACTCCCTGCAAGTGTTTTGCAGTTGAAACTGACGCCTGAAATGGAGACAGGAATATGAAGAACGATATGCAGCGCCAGCATTTCCTGCTCGCACATTGACATGGTTCCTATACTCACAGACTTCGAAGCACTGAAATTGTTTAAACAACCTTTGCAGCTTGTCCGCTGTGACAAAAAAGGCAGGTGATTGTGGCACAACTGATCGTCCGTACTACCCAGCCCATCTTGATCGAAGATGATTGTATAAACCAATATCCAGAGCCAGCAGCTTCAGAACCAGGCATGTCTGAGCCCAGAAAGACTATTATTAGTTGAGTCAAACAGAAGTCAGAGTCTAGCACCAACAGCACAAGTACATGTTGTAAAACCAGTACAGTACAACTTACGTCCTCCGCGACGTCAATAAGAAAGAAAACTACATGACCTACAACATCACATGCAGTTCCTAAGCCATCCATTGCATAGAAGAGGGTGGCCGGAGATCATCGAAGTGGAGTCCAAACGACCGGGCCCCCAAGTTTGTACGGTACATCCTGACATCGTGACATGACCGCACTGGTGGTGTTAGTTTCGACATATGGCAGAACACCCCCTTTAAAAACACCCAACACACATCAAGCATCGTCAAACTCTAAACTACAGCTCCTGCAAGATACGGTCATGATGTTGGCGTCCAAACATCCAAATCTCCCCCATTAGACATCCCAAAACCCCCATCCTCAGCGACACAAAAACGCCGCCGCCGCCTCCTCCTCAGGCTGCGGCTCGGAAGGCGCGGTGGCCTGGTCGGGTGCGTTTCGAGGAGCAGAAATGTTGAGCCAAGAAACAGGGGACCCTGAGAGTGCGCCAAATCAATGAAGAAAACTGAGAAAGGCGCATGAAACTGCCAAATCAATGTACTTACTAGCTGCTAGCTGCTGTCACACACCTGGAAAAAAGCTGCAGGACATGCCAGCCTCACTTTAGATTGACAAATGTTCAAATTGATCACTTGCCATCTCTCAACATGCTTAGGTTGACTGCACGAGGTGAATCAAACTTTACATGAGTGGAGGTCATAGGTGCCAAAACATGCCAAAACTGCAGGAACGAAGTACATGTTCGGACGAGGGTCCGGGCATGTTCAGGCTGTTGGTTGGATCAGGTCTGAATTCAATCAGTCATCATTGACGGCTTGGAGTCGTGAAACAACGGGTTTGGACCCATCCCCATGTCACATTGGGACATGGCCCATCTTCCCCCCCTCACACCAAGAAGCCATGTGCCTTTTGGAGCAGCATCAAGACCGAGGCCTTGAAAGGAGGCACTGCAAACTCAGCAAAGTGCGGATGGTGCTCCTGGCTATTTAATACCTTCCCCAAATCTATGTGATGAACTTGTAGGCCATGGACCCTCTCAAGTTTGTCTGATTTTGTTAGGGCTGAACTACGTGTATAAATCAGGAGCACCAGATGGATACAGATACGTGGTACATCCTCTTTTTTTGTGCGGAATATCCTCCGACTCTAAAGTGAACCATGGTCAGGTTGATCCCGCCGACATAGGAAATTCATGGAAATTCTGTTGTTTCTAAGTCCTAGTTCCCTATTTTACACTGTGAGTTCCCCATCTTTGTTCCCTTGTCACCCCGTCAAACTGTGTAAACACCACTGGGGTCCTTGAGATGTCGAACGGCGTCTCCGGTCACCGTCTGCACCGAGCCGCCAGCGACGGCGCGTCCGGCCGCTGCGCGGCGGCCGTCCGAAGTGCCTCACAGCCTGGCGAGGATGGAGATCCGCGGCGTTACGCACGACACGAGGAAGTCACACGGGTGGATGGAAAGGCTCGGCGCCCATTTTGGAGACGTGAAGGCGGTGTGGGATGGTCCTGTGTTCTTGTAGGTGTTGGGCTTTTGGTTTATCAGGACCTCATTCTTTCCTCACTGGCTTTATGCGTCCTGAGGCTTACCACATGTGTGAGCCGCGCAAAATCACGGAGCCGGGAGACTCCCACCCCGAGCCGCGGATTGCAGGGTTGCTCGAGCACATGGTTGCGCTGGGGTGGTGATCCAGGGTGGCTGCGGTGGCTGCTTGGAAGGAACTTAGGAAAAGAACAACGGCCACTCCACAGGGAGGTCAACGTTTAGCCTGTAAATCAAAAGGATACTTAAAGAAGCTTGAAGACAAAGGACGAAAAAAGTGACTTCACAGCTGTTCGTCCTCAGTGTCCGACGACGGTTTGGAGGATTATGTTAGCTGCGCAGCAATGCCGTCACTCCGCCCATCCGTGTGCAAGGTCACGAATCGTGGTTTCAGGGGTTTGTTCGTATTGTCTTGATGGGTTCATCGCTTTCTCTTCAGGTGTTGCTCGTGGGATTGGGTTGGATGGGTCCACCCAGGAGTCCACCCTGTCGATGTTTCCTCCGACCCCAGGAGGCCAATGGAAGGCTGCACCTGCCCGGAATGCTGGAATGCGTGTGAGCGCGGAGGAAGCCTGGAGCGATTGTGACTGACTGAAACGGGGAAGTCGCAGCAGCCGTGCGCTCTGATCACCACGAAAGCAGTGGCATAGTGGCTACTTTAGACCAATTGCAAAGACTGCAGCACATGGAACCTGAAAGGCTTATTTGTCAGGTCTCACGGTCTCACATCTTCCAGGAGCATTCCAGTGGAATACTGGAGACTCGTGAAATATTTGTGTACTTTTAGACGATCAATTAGACTATTCCTTTGAGGTTGTTCTTTACGGTTTCTTCCTTGACCAAATTCTCCATTCCCTGGTTTTGCCATTTTTGCCTATCACTGGAAAAAAGAGATTCGAAAATGGATGGACAAAACTCCTGTGATGTTAGACAGGGATCTCTAAAGACAGATAAGCCGTAAACCAACAGGTCCACGGATAAATTGGTCCACGGATTGGTCATGAATTGCTCCTGCCTGAGTGACTCAAAATGAGGTTTTCGCATGAAAATGTCTCACATGTTTCTCGACGCACATGTTTCATGAACATATGGGTTGTGAACATGGGACCCACATGGGACCCACATGGGTTCAAATAATAAAGATCTTGGTTGTATGCCAATCATGTTTCACATCTTCTTAAAACGACTTCGTCCAAATGGGTCCAAATGGTCTGTTGGCTTGGCATACAGCCCGCATGCAGCCTGCTACTAAGCCTAAGCCTTGACCCAGTTCTTAGAACCAAGAACAATGCTTCTTTTCTTGGTTGCTATGTTTGTTACTATATTGGGCTGGTGTGGTCTCAAATTATTATTATTGTGGGTGAACATAGAGTAGCTTATACCATAATATATGTATATGTACATTAATATTATATATATAAGAGTGGTTCTTAGAAGGTTGTAAGAAGAGAACATCTAAGAAGGCTAATATGGATCTTTGCTCGCATGCTTCCGAATGGACCCCTCCCACTTGTAGCTTCTCCGGGACCCCGGCAACGGTGTCCAGCACTGGCTGCAGCTCATCAGGCTTCACAGCCTCAGAAATGCTTGCTTGAGGGAAGGGAACCAAAAGATTCGACTGCAAAGGGATTAAAAACATTTAAACACCAACCATATGATTTGGAAAGTGATCCAAGTTTTGTGGGGGTCCAAATTTTCAACCTTTGCTATCTTGAGGCTCTAGCTGATGGGTCAACTCCCGATGCACCGATTCCCGTTTTGGTCGCTGGGGGTCATCGGACATCGCCCCCTCTTTTGAATATGTTCAAAGGCTCCAAGGTCATATCTACAGACCTTCATTCTGAATTATATAAATGTTCACTTGCCTGGCCAAGTTCAGGACCTGCCGAGCCATTCACCAAAGAACCTGGCCAAAAGAAACGGTCCATGGCCTCGTCATGGTTTGTGTGGGCGCTCGTCATGGTTTGCCAGATCAAACCATAATAGAATCAATCCGCAATGCACCGCAAGCATTCTGGCCATGAATTTTTCTGGGGCACCACTTCCTGAATCCTTCCCCCAATTCTGTTCCTGCAATCCTTTCGACCCACGCCCCCCACACTCCACACTCCTCAGAGACTCAACACTCTTCCGAATCGATGCTGCGACGTCTCAGTCTCTCGACGTCTCAGCACATCTTTGGCACTGAGCGTCTTCGGTGAAGCGTCGCAAGGTGGACGAGAGTGTTGGAGATAGAGAACATCCAAATGGACTGAATTGGAGTGAGAGTCCAATTTGGATGGAGTGAATCGAAGAAAACCAACATATCATTCACCCCTTCTGCCATCTTCTGCCTATGGCCGACATGCACCCGGTAGAATCCCGAACTCTCCGTTTGCTTGACCGGTTCCGTCCGGTGAGAACCAAGTGCAACACTGTTGATAGGCGAGCATCCCCTCATAGGTGATTCTGGACAGGAATGAAGGTTGCCACAAAGAAGGAGCAGTTTGTTGTTTTGATGGTGTCCAGGCAAATCCTGCAGACTTGGGAACAGTGTGGATTGGCTAGCCTGAACGACAGTCCGACTGGTGGTGAGTGTAGCAGGAATATCTTTGCGTCTTGGACCACCTGAAAAGGGCCAATAAAAACCAGAATCCATCACAATCCCAAGACAGGTGTATAAAATGTATAACATACTTCATACTGTACAGTAACCTTTAAGCAAATGCTCTTGATTTTGACATGTCAAGACCACTCCTTCCACGCCGTCACTTCTCCATGAGAGGCCGCCCTCTGGCGCTCCTCGGGCGACGTGGCCGGACAAAGATACGTTGATTGACATCAGATGACTCAGAAGAGTACTGTAGTATATATATAGTTATATAACCTTTTGTGTGTGAGTGTCTTCTCAGAGATTAAGACCCCAAACCAAGGATCAACTCAACTGTCTTGAAATCTACATTTGCAGATCCAGAAAGCTCTGCGCCGACCACGAAGTTTGCGCTTCAAGCCCCACAAATTGCTATGCCTGCAACGAAATCTACACTTTCAACTTTCAACATCGATAAAAATATCGCACCCTGCCACGAACTCTACTTTCGAGGGGTGAGAAAGGGTGACCCTTACTTGGCGGGGGTGAACACCTGTCGCTTCAGCGCCATGGCGTCGCTCGCGATCGGCTCCTGCTGCCACCTCGCCGCCTTCGCCTTCGCCTTCACACTCTGTGCCGTTGGCATCCGGCCGGTGGCGACCCGAAACGGACCCGGTCGGCGGTGTCCCGTCCGAGGCGAACCAGGCCGTTGGGGGCCGAAGATCCCGAAGAAATCCACCGGTAGCAAGTGTGAGATACTGTCAAAAGCCTATAGTTGAAATAATCCCTGTGTTCTAACTAGAAATATCTGTATCTCCTTCAACATGTGGCGAGGGAAGCCATTGTGATTGCCATACCGCAAGCAGGCTCGTCCCTTACAGTAAGATTCGACAAGTACCACACTGTCTGCTGGGAGGTGCAGCTCACCTCAATTGCTTGGCTCACTGTCGGGTATCTCTCAGAGACTCCATTCGGCCATCTATCTGAACTGAACCACGGAAGCTCTCACACACCCAACGCCACCCAAGATCTAAAAGAAAAACATCGACCCCCCCTACGGCACACAGTACTTCACACATCCATCCTTCCCAGTGGCCTTGGGTCTCACTGACGGGGGCAGCATCAGTCAGTCCACCGGCTGCGCCAGGATCGCCACCGCGCTGTGCGAGAAGATCCCCCCGTTGCCATACCTCCATGGGGTTCAGTGTTTTTTTCATTCCACCTGGACCCTCGGCGTTGGGGGTTTTGAGTGTGGCGCGTGCTTTCCCCCCAAAAAAGATGCCTTTTTGGAGCCGGTCCCAAATCTAACAGGAAGAGAAGCCATAACAATCCAGGTGTCGGGGGTGGTGATGTTTTGAGCCATCTGCCGATGACTGAAAGATGTAGTTGATCCTGTGTTGCAATGAGTTCTTTGCCAGATAATGTGTTCCATCACCCACCCTGGGTGACCGAAAATATAAATATGACGTTCGGCAAGCGCACTAAGCGATTACACCAGGTCTGCCACCAATCACCCGTCGGTCTGCTTCTTCGCCCAGTTGCACCAGCGCTCGGCGCACCGACGGCACTTGACGGCCCGTGGCAGTGCCCCTGAGCTGCTCGCCTCAGCGAACGCAGCATACGCCTCCACCTTCAGTGAATCACCACCAGCACCACGGAAAGGGTGGTTTGGAGGACAACCCTAACTATGTATCTTCCTTCCAACAAGCGCCCTTTTGCATAGGCAACAGAGTAGTTTTGATATGTACCTAGACCTGGTTCGGTTTGGATCCTGGTCTCGAAAAAGCCACGATCCACACGCTTGGAGCCTATCAAATACCCCAGAGTCGAATCGGGTCTTTGAATCTAAACCGCTCCCAAGGCCCAAAGCAGGGTCTTTGGGCACAGAGCTTTCCACCATGGCCCGCGAGTGTCCCCGGTCATCCTAAGCAGGGTTGCCGGCTCCAGCACATGAGATTCACCAAGACCAGCATGTGAACTCATTTGGGATTCCAGCATGACTGGCGTGTTCATCTCTCCGCGGCGGGTGCCTCCATGAGTAGTTTTGGCGGCAGTGAAATGGGTGTTTCAGTTGCCTTGCCCGGCCTTGCCCCGGACCAGGACCATACCTTTCGTTCGATCTTCCTCTCTTCTGCCCGGGCAAATTGCACCAGTGCCCCAACTCTCACCGGCTGCTTGGCTCACTGGCTGCTTTGTAGACCACATTTTACATATGTTGTAACAAACTACACTACCAAAACAATCACTTCTCAGTGAAAATAGTCAAAACAACCGAGTGACCCCCTGAGCCTCATGGTGGACTGCAACACCGGAGTAAGTTGTTACTGAGTTGCAACAACAAGACGTCAAACTCCATGGGCTAGTACAAGTCGTTATCAGAACATAACCCACCAAACTGCGTACATTTAGCGACCATCTGATCAAATTCTTGGCATCAGAACTTCAGCTACACAGCTTTCTCCAAGAATCCTTTCTCTATCAGGTGTTGGAAGAGTCACTCTTTTCTTCTCCAGCTCAGGGGACCCTTTCCTATCTTTTCTGGATTTTTCTGGAGAACCCTTATTCTCATTTTTACTGCACCCTCCAAGTGACAGGCTTCAATGATGTTGTACATGGCCGGCACCTCCGTCGGACGGACGTCCGGACCGACCACGTGGCAGTCGTTCGGCCCGGTGCCAAAGCGATGGTTAGGCAGAATATCTGGTTGAATAAACATCCAAAAGCATCCGAAAACAAAACCTAGAAGGGGGAAGGGACTAAGGTACATTGACCCTGCGGGTACAGCTGATCTTCTACCAAGTCTGTAAAGGTGGTGACGCTCTTCATCAATCTCTGCGAAAACTCTTCTGGACGGCAACCCACGCGGGTGAGTTCAGTCAAACGGTCTGACCTGCACACAAACAACTCCAAAGGTGCCAAAAACTTCGGAATCATCCGAGTCGCTTGGTCACTACTGAGTCGTCTTCCTTCGCGCTTGTCTCATCCTTTTGCGTCCGCCACCAAACCGCTCCTCAATCACTTCCGTCCCGCACGGCCGTTCGCGTTTGAACGCCCTGCGCTCGCCTCCCAGGGGGCACCAAAGGCGAGCAAGCCGCCATGGGTGTTGATGGGGAAGTCACCCGCATCGTAGCCCGACCTCAGGAAACGTTCACAAACCACGTTAGTCTGGGCACTAAGGTTTCATCCACCATGTGAATAGGTGTTTGAAGATTTGCAGGTTCTCTCTTCCTATCCGTGTTCATTTTATACTCCAAAAAATTGTGGACCTAGATGCGACCACCAATTTTCGACCATTTTTTGCGCCAAAGAACACCCTCCACCTGCAACGCTAGAGGTCAATCAAAATTGAGGTCAATCAGGTATGGTTGTTGGAGTTGATCTCCCCCCTTGGGACGTCATTCAAGTCGTGAAGGAAGCTTTTGGGCGTGCAAAGGACCCGAGTGTTTCTTCCAGTTTCTCCGCTATGATGTCTTTCTTCAAGTTTGATCCAACCAGCGAAGTTTGATCGAAAAAAATAACAATGCACATGCATAGTTACACAATCACATATCAAGAGTCTTGCGACTGCGAGTAAATACATCTCACACCAACCTTACAATAACCCCATGCTGGGCAGATTCGCCTCGATTCGCAATGATTCGTCCGGCTCCAATCACTGTCTGCCCATACAAGTACCTGTGGTATCTTGGGCGTGGAAAGCCATGGAGGTTCTCCAGCCCAGGCCCGGGCGGGGCCTTCCCGATGCAGCCCACGTGGCTCCGTCTTCCAGAACATCTCTTCCACCCAAGCGCCCGCGGTGCCTTTGGGCGTCACGCCGCAGGCCTCCAGCGCACGGAGGAAGCAAATGGGGTAGCAGTCCTGGGCGCAGGACGCGGGAAGAAATGGGGCCTTATTGGGCAGTTGGTCTTCCATCAAATTGGAGAACAAGAAGTGTGAATAAGCATCTCTTAAGGGATGTCTTCGGCTGACAAGTCTTCATCTTATCCCTTCTCCGAACACATGTCGCGACATGTCACCAACAAGTCCAAACTGGACACAATAGTGCTGGCATGCTGGCGGAGTGTGTCAACCGCAAAAGTGCACAACAGGTCTTTTCAAAAAGAAGTTCTGTGAGGACCTTCCAAGCACAAAGGACCTGCTGGGGAAAATCCCAAGTAGCACAGTCAATAGAAAAATCACACAGAAGATCCGAACAAATCGACTCCGAGGAACGTAGAGGCCAAACCACTGGAGATCCTCCGGGAGGAGTTGCGCTTCCGAGAAGGCCGAGGCTGCGGCGGCCTGCCATCAACGGTGATGGAAAGCCTTTGTATCACAAAAATATCACTAAGAAACAAAAAAAAACACCACCATGTTCTTCACCTATGCCAACCAAAAAAAGACACGCTCAACACAATTATGGACTGTTTCACAGGAGGGAAACCCAGCAGAACAGCCAAGTCATGACGTCCGACATAGTTCGGTCTTGCGGGGTCCGATACTGTCCACAATAATATTACATAATAGCATGGGGATGCAAGGTGCATGACTCTGCATGACCCTTAAAGATAGAAGTTGTGCGTGCATGCATTTACCATCTTGGTTGGTAAGATGTCAAACGAAAGAGATGCCCTCTATCCTTGACCCCCTACACCCAAAAATGTTCATCACTACAACCATCCTCCCAACTAGCCCAGCCACCCGATCTCTCATCTCCCATCTCCCACTGACCCAACTCCAAAAAAAATCCAAACGGCCCCATCTCCCTGCCTCACAGCTGAACATGCTCTCATCAATCTCCTCTGGTGGGTACAGCGGCCCCGAGGCCTCTCCACCACCCAACACCACCAGGCCACCGGTCGCAGCCACAGGGCCCAGCCGCGCGCTGGACACACCGTCCTGGCGCAGGACACGCGAGAAGAAGCCGAACCTGGAAGAATCATAGGGAAAAAGTGGGAAATTCGGAACATCCACTTGGACAAGCCCAGGATGATTACAATAGATACAAGGATATATTATTGTTTTTCCTCAAACAGTTTGCTGTTGGGGTTCTATCTTAGAAATAAAAGAGCTGGCCACACTCACTGGCCGCACCCCTGAACTCTGTGGCTAGGCTCTGTGTCCAGGCCTTGTCCTCCTCTTGTCCTTGTCTTGGCCACGCCTGAACTCTGTCAACTCTGTGGCTGGGCTCTGTGGCTGGGCTCTGTGTCCAGGCCTTGTCCTCCTCTTGTCCTCCTCGCACCACTGAAATCTGTCAACCCTGTGGCTGGGCTCTGTGTCCAGGCCTTGCCCTCCTGTTGTCCTTCTCTTGGCCGCGCCCCTGACCTTGTCCTCCTCTTGTCCTCGTCTTGGCCGCGCCTGAACTCTGTCAACTCTGTGGCTAGGCTCTGTGTCTAGGCTTTGTCCTCCTCTCCTCGTCTTGGCCGCGCCCCTGACCTCTGTCAGCTCTGTGGCTGGGCTCTGTGTCCAGGCCTTGTCCTCCTGTTGTCCTCGTCTTGGCCGCGCCCCTGAATTCTGTCAACTCTGTGGCTGGGCTCTGTGGCTCCCCTTGTCCTCCTCTTGGCCGCTGTGGCTGGGCTTGTTGGCCGCACCCCTGAACTCTGTCAACTCTGTGGCTGGGCTCTCTGTGTCCAGGCCTTGTGCTCCTCTTGTCCTCCTCTTCGCCGCGCCGGGCTCTGTGTCCAGGCCTTGCCCTCTTGTCCTTCTCTTGGCCGCGCCCCTGAACTCTGTCAACTCTGTGGCTGGGCTCTGTGGCGGGCTACGTGTCCAGGCCTCGTCCTCCTGAACTCTGTCAACTCTGTGGCTGGGCTCTGTGGCTGGGCTCTGTGTCCTGGTCTTGCCCTCCTCTTGTCCTCCTCTTGGCCGCGCCCCTGAACTCTGTCAACTCTGTGGTTGGGCTCTGCGTCCAGGCCTTGTCCTCTTGTCCTCCTCGCCGAGCTCTGTGCGCAGGCCTTGCCCTCCTGTTGTCCCTCTTGGCCACGCCCCTGAACTCTGTCAACTCTGTGTCCACGCGCCGGGCTCTGTGTCCAGGCCTTGCCCTGGCTGCGCCCCTGTCAAGTGGCTGGGCTCTGTGGCTGGGCTCTGTGTCAGGCGTCCTCCTGAACTCTGTCAACTCTGTGGCTGGGGTATGTGAGTAAGCTCTGTGTCCAGGCCTTGTCCTCCTCTTGTCCTTTTCCTCCTGGCTGCGCCCCCTGAACTCTGTCAACTCTGTGGCTGGGCTGTGTGGCTGGGCTCTGTGGTTGGGTTCTGAACTCTGTCCGGCGGCGACGCGGCCGTTGCTGAAACAGTAGCAAAGGCCTTGCGAGCGGCCTGGATTGCCGCAACGGCACAGGCCTGGCGGGCCGGGCAGTGCAGGAATCGAGCGCCGCAGGCAGAACCGCCCCAGCAAATAACGGCGCCATGCGCAAGGCGGCGAAGGCGCCGGAGTTGGCTTGGATAGCGGCGATGTCGTGTAGCTCTGGCTGTGCACCGCCCAAGTCGCCGCCAGTGGCGGGCGGGGCCCCAGGCGCAAACAGCGCCGTCGCGACAAAGTGCCGCGAAGGCCGTGTCGGCGCACTGGAGCGCAGACACAGGTTGTTGTCGGACAGCACCAGGAGGCAGGTCTCCGCCTCAAGCTGCGTCGCCCCAGCAAACAACGGCGCCGTCCTTGCGCAAGGCGGCGAAGGCGCCGGAGTTTGCTTGGATAGCGACGATGTCGTGTAGCTCTGGCTGCGCACCGCCCAATTCCCCGCCAGTGGCGGGCACGCCCCAGGCGCACAGTGTCCAGGCCTTGCGCTGGCTGCGCCCCTGTCAACTCTGTGGCTGGGCTGTGTGGCTGGGCTCTGTGTCCAGGCCTGTCCTCCTGAACTCTGTCAACTCTGTGGCTGGGCTCTGTGACTAAGCTCTGTGTCCAGGCCTTGTCCTCCTGGCCGCGCCCCCTGAACTCTGTCAACTCTGTGGCTGGGCTGTGTCTGGGCTCTGTGGCTGGGTTCTGTGTCCAGGCCTTGTCCTCCTGAACTCTGTCCGGCGGCGACGCGGCCGTTGCTGAAAACAGCAGCAAAGGCCTTGCGAGCGGCCTGGATTGCCGCAACGGCACAGGCCTGGCGGGCCGGGCAGTGCAGGAATCGAGCGCCGCAGGCAGAACCGCCCCAGCAAATAACGGCGCCATGCGCAAGGCGGCGAAGGCGCCGGATTTGGCTTGGATAGCGACGATGTCGTGTAGCTCTGGCTGTGCACCGCCCAAGTCGCCGCCAGTGGCTGGCGGGCCCCAGGCCCAAACAGCGCCGTCGCGACAAAGTGCCGCGAAGGCCGTGTCGGCGCACTGGAGCAGCCACAGGTTGTCGGACAGCACCAGGAGGCAGGTCTCCGCCACAAGCTGCGTCGCCCCAGCAAACAACGGCGCCGTCCGCGTGCAAGGCGGCGAAGGCGCCGGAGTTTGCTTGGATAGATGATGAAGTTGATGAGCTGCCGCCCTTGATTTGCAAGCAGCTCGCACGACCAAAGTGATCCTTAGTAAACATGTCAACACCTTAGTTGTCGGGGACGGAACCGTGACGGTTCCCAATCATACAAACAACTATTTCACTGAGAAACCTCAAAACCGTTTCTTGTTCATTTTTACAGGAACCCAAAAGCGGCCAACCAAAGCGAGCCGTTAGAGGATTACGAGGTTTTGGAGGGCGTCCCAACGCAAACCGCGGACAGCCCCAAGCCAAATGATCCCAGTGGCCCACTTTGTAATTGCAAAAGGGACACCTGAGATCTTCAGACTGCTTCACGATAGCAAAAGCGGCCGGACTGACAACAGCACCAAGGGCCACATGCCGGTACCAAACATTGTCTTTAATCAGAGATCTAAGAGTCTGAAAGTTGATCTGTCGAAAGAAAGACACCATAGCAGCCTCAGTATACGTGTCCAGCATTTGTTGCGGCTCACGCCGCTTTTGTTTCAACCAAGAACAAAATTGCTTCTCCCGCCAAGAGTTGCGGAGGAAGTGAAGATTTTCATCCTGAGAGTCCACCGGGGTGCCAAGAGAGATAGTCCCGTGAGCCGACGTCCAAACGAAACGGGACTGTTCCCTCCACTTCAAATTTTTCAAAGTGCGCCTGAGAAAACTCATGGTAGTACCAAAGGCATTAGTCCAAGAAAGGAGATTCTTGTGATACAATTTAACAGCCCGAACCCAAAGCCTTTGCAAGAGATGAGCATGCAAGTGAAATTTAGCCCCGTAAACGACTTTACGCAACCAGGGAGAAAAGCTTGTCAGCGGTGGCAAGCGTAGGACATTGAGCGATCCAACCATAGTTTGCAACAGCCATGACAAAAGCATTGAAGGCCAAAAAGCCTCGTTCCCAAGGCAGGCCGGCAGTTTGCTTGGATAGCGACGATGTCGTGTAGCTCTGGCTGTGCACCGCCAGTGGCGGGCGCGCCCCAGGCGCACACAGTGGCGTCGCGACAAAGTGCCGCGAAGGCCGACACTGGAGCGCAGCCACAGGTTGTCGGACGGCGCCAGGAGGCAGGTCTCCTCCGCAAGCTGCGTCGCCCCAGCAAACAACGGCGCCATCCGCGCGCAAGGCGGCGAAGGCACCAAGGTTGCTTGGATAGCGACGATGTCGTGTAGCTCTGGCTGCGCACCGGCCAAGTCCCCGCCAGTGGCGGGCGTGCCCCAGGCGCACACAGTGGCGTCTCGACAAAGTGCCGCGAACGCCGTGTCTGTGTGCTGGCATAGAGGCACGTCAGGATCCGGAAGGTGACCACCACGAAGAGGATCCCCCCGCGTAAAGAGCGAGCCATCGGCAAGGATGGCCGCAAAACTGTGGCAGGTGGTTGCTAGGATTGGATATCCAAAAGGTCGTGGAGGGCTCCTCCAGATCACCACCCCAGAAGGGATTGCCCCAGGCCTGCAACAAGTCAGGCCAGGACCGGCACCTGCAAAACAAGTGTCAAGCGATGTCCATCCCTGACGCCGGCCACACGCAGAGTGTCCCCGGGCGAGAAGAGGGAGGCATCGGCGTCGACCAGCTGCACAAAGCGGCTGGCGTGGCACTCACGTAGCCACGCGGACAAAGCCGCAACTGTGCAGTCCGGGGAAGCGGAGTGAATGAAGTCACGTGGATGTACATCATGCGGCGCGCCGGCGAGCGGGAGCGGTCCGATATGGTCAGGAAATCCGGGACACAAAGAAAGAACTAGCGACGTAACACTACACACAATGCAGGAGCCGGAAAAAGAGGCTGGCGAGGAGGCTAACATTAAATAAAAACAGCTCAACGGAAGGGAAAAAGGATGCAAAAGACTAGAACAAGGTGAAGTTGACAGTGCGTGCTTCCACTATTCCACAGTCTTTGGATCTAATAGGGCGCATTTGCCCCGAAAGGAAGTGTGAAATCTTGTCAAACGCACTGCGCTGAGCGCCAGCGACGTTGGAAACAGTGGTTTTTGCAAACGTTCGGCACTGTATAGCAGGAGTGAGCACTCCGAAGAAAAATGGTGACGTGAGCGAAAGAGTTGGTAAGAGGGTTCAAAAAACAGGTATATTTAATATATCTGTTTTTAACTGCAAAAAATGCCAATGATGCAGCCGGACGAGGGCGGCACCATTAGCGCCACTGCTAGGAGAGTTCTGGTATAGATACCAATGATTTGTGTGCCAATATTTGGCGTGCTCGGAGGGAGCAGTGTCTTGATTGGTCAGCTTGTCAACGGGCAAATGCCAACACTAACGTACAGCGCAAGATGACATGTAGAAAAATAACAGGTTGTCCGAAGTCTCACACTCACTTACTCTCCCACTCTCACTCACGCGCACACTCCCTCACACTCTCACTCTCCCACTCACTCACACTCACACTCCCTCACACTCTCACTCCCACTCACACTCACTCACTCTCACTACTCACACTCACCCTCACTCACACTCACCCTCACGCTCACGCCCCCTCTCACTCTCACCCTCACTCTCACTCTCACTCTCACACGCACACGCTCACTCTCACTCTCAATCACACACTCTCACTCTCACTCTCACTCTCACTCTTACTCGCACTCGCACTCTCACTCTCACTATCACTTTCACTCTCACTCTCACACTCACTCACTCTTGGCTGGGCCTGTGGCTGGGCTCTGTGTCCAGGCCTTGTCCTCCTCTTGTCCTCCTCTTGAACTCTGTCAACTCTGTGGCTGGGCTGTGTGTCCAGGCCCAGACAGAGAAAGATAAACTTAAAGAGAAAGAGAGAGAGTGAGAGAGAGAGAGAGACAGAAAGAAAGAAAGAAAGACAGACAGACAGAGAGAGAGAGAGAGAGAGAGAGAGAGAGAGAAAAGGAGAGCAGGGCGAGCGCGCGCGCACGCTCGTGTGCTATGGACGGCACGCTCACGCTCCAGAAACGCGCGCTCAGAGCGTGCTGTGCAGAGAGAAAGACAGAGAAAGAAGCACTTACACTTATTGAGCGAGAGAGAGAGAGAGAGTCTTCTTGTCCTCTTCTTGTCCTCCTCTTGTCCTTGTCTTGGCCGCGCCCCTGAACTCTGTGGCTGGGCTAAGTGGCCACGTATACTGAGATCTAGGGGTCCCCTCGTTTTCATCTCAAACGTTCCCAGCCCATCCTCTCACCCAAACACTCTCCTCGCCTCGCTACTCACCAAGTCGTGCCCCATGTACCTCCAGTTGGAAACAGTAGTTCCTCCCAAGTGCCAACTTTGGTACAGCTTAGGGGTGGCAGTGGAGCCATGAAGAAAAGCACCTCCATCCAACATCTGGGCCAATGACAAACATTTCACATTCACATCTGAGGCGCTCATCCATGAAGTTGCTACTGGCCACGATGATCGCGGCACCCCCATCCGCACGCCGGGCACATTCCAGGAGGTTGGTGGCAGGGGCGATCTTCCTGCGAGTGATGCCGAGTGGACGGGACGAAGACATGTCATCAACCAAACACAATGACCAGGTTTGCTCCTGCAACGTGTTTCCCATGCCCTGCAATTGCAGCTATTGCCTGCAGCTATTGCCGCACTCTTTCGGATCTCCAAGTTCCATTCACTAACTGAAACTAAGATGGAGAACTGGTCACACCGGTCACACCCCTTCTTACAAAAGCTATATACTGCAGATTCTGTAGATTGTTTCGGTTTGTCGAGTTGGATCTTGACTGGTTTCGTTCTAGTAAACCACTCAGGCCACTCGGGTAAATTCGATATGCGCTCGCACTGGCACTATATTGAATATCATCCCTACTCAGGCGTTGCGGCGTTGTACCCCCTGCTCCGAAACCCTGTAGTATACCCGGATGCCCGACCAAACCGACCAAACGGATGCCCCTCCGTGCCCCTCCTGGATCTCAGCACATCCTCCAAGCTATGAGCTTTTCGCGTCAGTGCCAAAGGATGCTTGGCCGCCTGACGACCAGCGGACCGTCTTCGGGCCCGGCCGAGAATCTCGACGGGTTGCGACTGGATTCGACGGATAAAGAAGACTCAATCGTCTACAAATTGGTTTGCCAGTTCCATGGAACATGAGTCAGAAGGAGTAGATAAAGAACTGTTTAAAACACACGTCATTAATTAAAAACCACATAAATTTAAATGAGCATTAGTTATAAATAAATGAGCATCATGATCATGAATTCTAAAACAATTGGATCAATGGATGATTGAGTGATGCTCCATGGTTTTTGTGGGAGTGTTTTGCAGCATCTTATGGAGGTTGGGGAGTGGTCCTCGTGCTGACTTCACCTTTGTGTGGACCTTTGGGATTGGCTCGCTTGCGCACTTACCCATTGAATTCCTCCACCCACCTCCACCTCCATCCACCCACCCACATATGTCAACCATGCCACCTTCCCCCACGTTCCGAAAACCCCCGGAAACCGCCCAGAAACCGCCCCACTTGGGACGGTGCCTGGCGGCTCATGAGCACCGAGACCATGGCCAGTTGCTCTCGGCTCAGGAGGCCCTGCCGGAGCTGCCATTGTGCCACCTGTCGCCACACGGCCACCGTGCACGGAACGATGGCAGCCACACGCGGCCACGGAACGATCGAGCCACAGACTTTGGCATTATAGCCTGAAACTTCAGAGGGTGAGTGTGTGGCGGAATGATGCGGGCATTGGAAAACCTGACCATCACGAGGTCAAAGCCGTCCGTAAAAGAACCCAGAAGCAAAAAAGGTGACTTCGCAGGCCACCACGCCTTACTCCGCTCGCGTTCACCAGCGAATAGCATCCTGCACCGCTGCACCACCTGTAGACCAATCTGAGACCTACACCCTTAATGTCGAATCCAAACGAAGGACAACCACAGATCGCCCAAGGACTGCGACTCCCGCCACCGGCCGCGCTCCACGCCTGGTCGTAGCCGTGGGGGATGCAGGGCGAAGGCAAGGAATTCTCGGGATCCTCGGATCCGCTCGGAGGCGGAGCGTACGACCCGCCGCGACTGGGGCGGGTCTCTCAGTCCACGTCTGTGATGAAAGGAAGGAGCATAGTCCTAGGTCGACATTACGAACACAATTTGCAGGGCCTGCCAGCTTCTGCCAGCCCAGAATCACCCCGAGTCATCCCCTTGCACCCCAAAACAACCTCATAGAATTGACCACTGACTTAGTTAAATCAGTTAAATCCTTATAGAAGTGAAGCTCCCAGGTCTTTCCCTCATGAGCTGGCAGCTTCCAGATCCGTCCAGACCGTTTCCATCAACCGCTGCTGCCCAGCATCCCGGCAGCCCTGATCAGCGCGTGCCAGGAACTCCGGCGTCGCCAGCGAGGAGACGGCGTCGCCCGCCACCACCGCCACCGCCTGACAGCGCTCGTCCTGGCGCGTAGGCGTGCGTGCGCAAAGGCATCCATCTGGACCAAGAAGAAGTGGTAAGGCTAAACCACCTGTACAGGGCAAGGCCAAGAAGATGTGGGTTTGCTGGTGTATTGAGAGAGCATTTTTGAAGGGTCTGGAAGTGAGCCTTTCAACTAACTTTATAAAAAGCTTTCTTTGGAGAGAGCCTGTTTTCAAACAAAGTCAATCCCAAAAGTCAAAGTCAAAAAAAAGTCAAATCAGAAAGTTTCAGAAAGTCAAAAAAAGTCCATTTGCCCAGATCCGACTTTTTTCGACTGTTTGTTGACTTTTGTCGACGTTTTTTGACCGTTGTTCGCCTGTGTTTTTTACTTTTTCGAGCGGTTGACTTGTTTTGTTTTGGCTTTGTTTTATTGTTTCTTTTTCGTGATGTTTTTTTGATGTTGCTGTTGTGTTTTGACTGTTTTGACCTTTTTTTGCGTTTTTTGTGACGTTTTTTGACGTTTTCGACTTGTTTTTTACTTTTTCGAGCTGTGGTCTGCGTTTGACTTTTTTGACTGTTGTTTCTTTTGTTTCGACTTGTTTTGTATCCTTTTTGATTTTTCAATTTGACTTTTTTTGACTTGTTGTATCAATAATGTTGGCCTTAGCATATTATGAAAGAATTTTATAAAACTAACTACCTACTACAGTATGTAGACCTGCTTGTCGACATGGTAAGCAGTGATGAAATCAAGGGCAACGGCTTCTGAATGGTCACACAAAAGTACACCAAGTATAGTTGGCACACCCATGAAGCCACCCCAACTGCGAGGTTTTTCATCCTTTGAACAAAACGATTTTTTTCAATAGGGAGACCTCCCAGACAATAACCTCCTGCAAGGAAAATAGACCACAACCACATAACCCCTTTGGTTGATGTCGGTTGGGTGTCTCCTCATTAAATCGGTACTTGCTCCTAGACGCTCCAACTCACGCCTCCCACCCCATCCCACCCTCCCACCCTCCCTTTCTCTCTCCGCGCCTTCACCATCCGAGCCGCCTCCAAGAGCCCTGAGACGGGCCCAGCGCCGCCGGTGTCAATGGTGCGCACCCGCACGCTGCCAGGGCCCCGGTGTGGCAGCAAGCCCACCTGGGCGAGTCGTGGCGGGCGAACGTGTGGAGCGCTTGTCGTGATTCCTAGACTAGTTGGACACCTGGTGTAGGACGTGCTCGATCCACTGTTCAGTTTGGTGCTGATCTCTGAACGGACAAGAAGACCTGCAACACATTGGAACCAGGACAATTGTTTGATCCTGGCTGGGTATCCAAATGGATACATTTGGGTATATACACTGTGTATACATGATTTTAACCGTTTTGCCGCATTTTTCAATCCAACCATCGCCACCGGCACTGAACGCTGCGGAATCGTTCGGAAAAAAATGAAAAAAACAACGACACCTACCCTACCTAGGATGCCGGCCATCTTCACTGGACAGTCGTGTTTTCATCGATGCCAAGCATCAATCCCTTGAATAACCCTGGGGGGGTATCATCGAATTCATCCAAATGAACCATCTTGCTCCGAACCAACCCTGCCCCCCAAAGACGGTCTTACGTTCAACACCTCCCAAACCGACGCGGCTTGGTTGTATCAATCCTTTACAACTAACCTAAGGCTCTTTGGATCTCCCTCCTCTTTTGACACCTTTCCATGGCCACTTTCAATCCCAATACCCTCCGGTCCCACCTGTGTGGCAAGGTAGTGAGCCTCCATGAAGTGCGGATGGGACAGCGAGGGCACCGCCACCAGGCCATCCAAGTCCTGCCAAGCTGCCGGAGCCACTTCCACGTCGGAGGGGGGAGATCCCAGACCGTGAGTGGATGGCAATCCCTACCATCCCTCCACTCTAAGGGACCCCCGGATGAAACTACTGGTACAGTATAGTCTGTTCTTTTGGCTGCAAAAGAAAGGACCCGGCGAAATCGGACGGAACAACATCATCGGTTCCGACCAATAAATAAGGTTTCCATCATCTGACGCCAAAGAGACATGGGGGGAACCCCCAACAAGACTGGCGACAAGACCTGGTGCAAGTTTCAGGTCCCATCTAAACGCGTGTCTGCCTTGTTTGTGGGTGTGCGTGGCAAAAGATCCTATCTCCTTCTTGTATACTACACTTCTAATTACTTAGTCCACATCACCGAAAACCACCAGCAAGTACGAGTAAGCCAGAAAAAGACCATGTAACATCTATGCTTGGAGGAGTAAGCCATAAAGTAATCTAAGTAATCTCCATGCTGATTCCTTCCACCTTTCTGAATGATGTGAAACCAGGAGAAAGGGAAACTAATTATACTCTGGCCCTGTCCCCATTAGAAGCTGGGAGTCTTCCATGGATCCAATTTTTGGGGTCCAGTCAAGAACTGGACACCGCTGGAGAGAAAGCGCTCGAGATTCGCTTCCGAATCTTCCCCAACCACCAAAAGTCCACAGAACCACGACAACGAAACAAAGCACTCACCTGGCGCTTCTTCCCCGCCAGTCTGAGTGTTTCGTTCTGGTATCCTTCTTTCCCATCCCCAAAGTCTTGGACTTCCCCCCGGAAAACCAACCAAACACGCCAGTCCGCGGCGTTTTTCCGCCAACCGCCCGCCGCCCCACCTGGCCCTGGCCCCCGCGGGCGCCTTCATCTGCAGTCCCGCGGAGCGCAAGGACTTCTGCAAGGCCTCCCGCATCAGCTCGCTGGCGCTACGCCCCAGCTTCCCCAGCGCAGTCCTTTCTGAAGCGGGCGAAGCTGAAGGGACCCGGCCACCCGGATGGCCGGACCGATCCGAAGAAGCACGAAAAGGGAAACATGGAGGGCTTCATGGAAGAGGACTCGGGAGTGATGTACAGATCACGAAAAAAGACCATGTGTTTGATCTGTTTTGATCTGTTTGGGAGAGGCCTGCTTCCACCATCCCAAACCATTCGCTAGCGATGTTAGGCTGTATACGTTGGAATCCTTTTGATGACACCTTCTGCCGTTCTTCCACATGGTGATGATGTGGAGAATCATAGAGCCGGAGAAGAAAAGTCCAATGCCCATAAATATACTGAGGATGATGCCATTGAAACTCTGAAATTGTTCACACTGTTCTCCAATCTGAGCAGTCAGCCAGTCAGCCCTGCTTCTCAATAGAATTCCAGTAGAAGAGTTTCCACTCCGAAGTAAATCTAAATAGTCCTAGATCGATGCTTTGTAGTTTAATGTATATAATATAGTTCAGGATGAAAGCTCCTCCACCAAAGTTCCACTGTCATCCTCCGTATAGGATTTGAAAGGAAGAGGGCTGTATGTCATATCTTCATAGGTGCGTTCCCAACTGTCTGTCCTATCTGTGTATGTCGTGCAGTCAGCATGTCTGCCTTGGGATCGGTGGTTGGCCTTTTGGAAATCTCATGTTTAACCCGGGCAACGAGACAAACCGACAAACATCTACTGGCTCTCACCCACTCACCCGGCGAAGCAAGTCCAAGCCACCCCTGTGGGCAAACCTCATTTCATTCCAACCACCCAAATATCTGTGCGAAGCATCAGCGTTCCCCCACGTGGCCCACATGCCATAGCCAAAGCACATGCCATAGCCAACAATCCGCATGGTGCTCACCGGCTGCGGCATGGCGGCCGGAACCAGTCGCTGGCACTAAATTGTTCACCACACGTTTTCATGGGTGCTCCAATGTAATCTGGTAATTACAAAAGTATGACCCGCATCCGTGGCAGGAGGTCTTCACCTGTCCGTATCCGTGTCGCAGGGCAAAGCTATTCTGATTCAAGTTCCGAGGTGGCGTGTATCTGCATGCATCTGTGGAGGCCCGCAAACGGCGGGCAGAACCTGCAAGAATATCTACCCTGCGCATCTGTTGTTTACCCAGTGAATGTCGGCCCAGAGCTTGCTTGCGTCATCAAAAAAGGCTGTGGCAATTCCATCCTGGCTTGAACGCAGTTGCCAAATCCCTCGTCTCAGGATTCTCAATACATGTCAATGCCATTGATAGTGGTCACAGCGGTCCTCCCTCAGGTGTTATTGGAAGCAATAACTTGTCTTCACCTCTTGAATGGCAACTGCAGTACGTAAAGCATCCTCCACAAAAATACAAATGGTTGACGGTAAGCGCACTTCTTGAGAACCAAACACGAAGCCACCACTTGCTGACCCTAGGAATGAAACACACTGCCAAAGAAACAAGTTGTTGGCGTGGAGAACAAATACCACTGGCTGACAATCGATTAGCTATTGTTGAATTTGACCCTGTCCCTTTGTGTCGTGAGCTGGTGGTAGGCGACTCCCGACCAAATCACTGGTCAATTCTCTCGGAGAAAGTGGGATGCCGAAGGATCCTTTGTGCTTTGGATTCCATCTCACCCAAGTAACCCCTGAGAAATCATCTCACCCAAGTAACGCCTGAGTATAACCTGTGTCATGTGTAGCTTCATTTTCAGGTCCAGGAACTTGGGCCCGGGACGGAAAACCGAGACTCCGCGGCGAGGGAGACCGGAACCAAGACCCGGCGAGGGAGACCCGTCGATGCTAAACATGGTGAAAGAAGAGTCATCACTTGGATCACACCTACCGGATGAGCTTGCTACTGCTACCGTCTAAACAAGGCTAAACACCGAAGAATGTGTTCAAGATTTTGAACGTGTCAAGGGTAATGACCCAACCCTTGCGGCTCACCCCACCCTTGCGGCCACTCCCCACCAGTGCCCACAGGTGCCCCCAGGTACCCCTGCCGGATCATGGGCCAAATCCACCGCGCGGCGGAGCACCTCAACGACCGATGCCCAGGTCGGACCGGGCGAGGTGGCGGCGCGCTCCACACGGAGTCGAGGGAGTGAAGTTGTGGGCGTGAAAATCTGGGATCCAGTGGGGTATTTTGAAGTTCAAGTTCCTGGTCCATGGTCCATGGTGAAACGGGTCCACAATGGTCCAACATCTAAGGGAAACTCGTGGGACGGACACCCTTGGGACGGACGCCCTGCTCAGTGGAAGTCCTGAAGGGATCTGAAAGGGTGTCCTGAAGGGTCTTTCCCAAGGACCGATCCTTCACATCCTTGCCGCAGAAAGCCGGACCTTTTGGGAAGAGGACTCTGCTCATGACCATCAATCCACAAGACCTATCTTCTCCTCATACTGGTAACCTGGTAGCTTTTGCACGGTGTGGTGGAAGCAACTAAACACATCAGCTGGGTTCCTAGCACGTCGGACATTCAACATTTACACCTGGCAGGTCCGGCGCGGGTGTCTCACAACGGGCTCGGCAAGGGATCTCGAGCCATCTTAGCCGTCCTTTTCAAACCAATCGCCAGAGTGTGGCGCGCCGGCGCACCGCAAGGGTTTAGGGACCCTCACACTTCAAATCTCTCGGCTCGAAACCATGGTCTCTGCATGCATCTCTGAGAAACATCCTTGGTCAGTCTTTGTCTCATGCATCTTCGCAATTGCTTTCAAACTTGCGCCAGCTGACAGTCCTACATCTTCCCTTCGGGGGTCAGTCAGCTCTGGCCTCTCTCGGCTCCGCCCTGCGTCCCTTGGCTTTCGGCGTCGCATCGGGGCCCCCGACAGCCTCCGTGAGAGACGCACCTGACGAGAATCTGGGCAGAGGGTTCACAGGGGTGATCCATGGCAGGGAATCTGATCTGGAAATTACTGGAGTAGATCCGAAATTCCGTCGATGGTTCTTTTCTCAGAAAGGAGGATGAACTGTGGAACAATAGGATCACTGCTCACCGATCCGTGGTCGCTAAAAGAAAGTCAGAACTTGCAAAGTGGCAATTACAGTGTTGATCTTTTTGGGATTCTTGTGATTTCCTTCCAGAAAAAGTCTCGAAACATCTCGAAACCCGAAAATCTCAGACCATTCCGTTGGAGCGATCCTCCGTGGAGCCGGCAGACTCAGCTCTTCAGCTCTTTTCAGCGACCAGCAACCAAACAAACATGCCTTGGTCTTCAGGGGTCACCATACACTTGAATAGATTAAGACAAAGCCACACGATACCTCAGGGTAATAAGAGTCCTTTGAAATTTGCGCGGTTTTGGTCATCATCTTGAAGAACAGAATGACAAATAATTACAACGGGTATGTATTTGTACTGTATGTATAGATGAACACTCACCAGACCGTGCCGCAGAAACTCATTCATCTTGACACCTTCATTACCCATGCTTTCCAGATCCCGTCCTGCCCGCACCGTGGCCCCCAGCAGCGTGGCCAAAACTCCTGGCCCCCCTGTTCCCCGATGACCAACACCTGCGAAACCCACGGGGAAGACGTGTGCGAGCATGGTCGAACCAGAGGTCACGCGCCAACAAACTAGTATACTTTAAATGTATCAACCCCAGCAATCGCAAATGGCTTGGGACAATGGATGAAAATGGAGAAATTCTCTAGCAGGAGGATGCCATGGTCGTTTAGAAGCAAAACATGTTCTGAAAAGCTGTGGAGGATGCTCTTTAATGACCTTCCTTTGAGCCATCCAGGGCCATACCAGTACCAAACCACAAATGTTCGGCAAATGATCACAACTGGCTCATTCCGAAAGACATGACTGCGGCTAATGTGGTGACTTTGCCTTAGAGAATCAGGGCTCTTTATGACCATCCAAAGGATCTCCAGTTTGGGTGCAGTGCTTTTGACTTTGAGGCGATATAGAATCATCACAAGAAATATGAGCAGGAACAATTCTGCGAGATATCCACAGAACTCCAGGCAGTCTCCTGACTTGCATAATCACAAGAGAAGCACTACTCTTCACTACAACCATGGTCTTGGGTGTAATATAGTACCTACACTCGCCATATCCTCCACCAGAGTCCTCCAACTGATCTACCATCCTCTGCCGGTTTCGCAATCCCACCCATCTACCCTGTTCACTCGCCCCCAACACGCCGGTCGCACGCGAACCGGGCCTTGCCCACCAAGCGACACGGGGCCTCGGCCAGCTGTTGCGTCATGGTGGCCTCGGCCGTTCGGTCCCGACGAGCCAAGCCCGTCGCGGCGTCCGCAGGGGGGGAAAAGCACGTCTCCCGCGCGAGGCCATGTCTTGCGCGCTCCCGGGGACCGGTGGAATGCCATGGTTCATGCCGTGTGTCAAACCTCACGAGAAGGTGCAGCGACAACTCCATGGTTCGTGTGGGCGACAAGGAGGTTCCAACCCACCAACGCCCATGATGACCGGAATGCGAGCGGAGTGGTCACGCCCGGATCTGTGGACGCCGGAATTTGAGTCAGTGTCACTCCGACTGGTTCGTTGTGGCTAGGGAGGGGCTCCTTGGGTTGATAAGTCTTCATACTGGCGCTGACTTGCAGAAAGACCAGGTGCCACGCCCACAAAACAGACCTTCTTCCTGTTCCTACTCAACCATGAGTTGGAAGTTGTGGCCACTGCTCAGATGGCTTTATGTTTCATTCCAACCCCAGTTGACAAAAAGCTCTTTGATCCGTCAAGCACGTCTTTACATCGTCATGGGTGAGGAGCCTTGCACATCATGCAAAATCTGTGAAATGAACGCAAACATGAAACTCCCAAAAGCAAAACTCGCACAAGCTGCTTGGAAGTATGATGCCGTACAAGTACATAGGCGCAAAAGCGCAACCCAAGGTCAATCTCTGCAGGCTGCCTGGCAAGGTCACACCTGCCAAGCTCTGGTTAAATTCTCGCCCAAAGGTCAAAGTCTGCAGGCTGCTTGGCAAGGTCACACCTTCCAAGCT